TACCGTTAATTTTGCACTTTAATATATTTTTGATTATTTCATGTGTGACGACAAGAACCACCAATTGTCGTCCTCTTTGTTTTGGCCTCGAAAGGCCTTTCCGAATTTCGATTCAGGTGTCTCTTAGCCTACGATTTTTGTCTCAACCTTCGTTCTGTGGGTGGACTTCGAAGGTAAGGGCGGACACCTAATGGATGGAACATCGTCCCACACTCACCTCACATCCCACGTTTGTCAACCGTCCAACAGTTACTTCCAATGCATTTAGATATTTATAGATCCATCTAGAAAATCAACTTATGAATTTTAATTCAAGAAATGCACAATATTAAAAAGTTATTTTCCTTTTCAGTTAGAGAAAATTATTCAAGTCTAAGCTCTTTAGTTCCGACCACCCCTCCATTACAGCGACTCTTCCGTTATAGCGGCGGCCAATGCCGCCGCTATAACGGAATTTGCTTTTCCATAGACACGATCGAATTTGCTTTTCCATAGACGCAATACTGCATTAACATGCTGCGAATGCATTAACATGCTAATGTGCATTAACATGCTGCGAATAGTTTCATTTTAGAGCTGCGAATCAGTTTTTAGCTAGTTATTTCTTTTAAAAATACAGTAATGCTTAATGTTTTTTGTCTTATGGATGGATGTTCTTAACATGCTACGAATAGTTTCATTTTAGAGCTACAAATCAGTTTTTAGCTAGTTATTTCTTTTAAAAATACAATAATGCTCAATGTTATTTGTCCTATGGATGAGTGTTCTTAACATGCTACGAATAGTTTCATTTTAGAGCTCCAAATTAGTTTTTAGCTAGTTATTTCTTTTAAAAATACAATAATGCTTCCGGTGTATCCCTCCGCTTATGTTATCCTTACGAGGTGAACAGGTTTAATATTCTAAGAAGTTTTATTATTGAGATATGTGTTTAAATTTACGCTTAAAATTTTAAGAGTTTTCGTTAATTCATGAATTTTATTTTATTTTATATCCGTCGTTGAACAGCCGACCCAATTTTTGGGTTTACGACTACTAATGTTCAACTCCGTAGCCTTGTAATATTGAACCAATTCCAGAAGACAAGGAAACTTCTGGATCTGTACCCCTAGAGGTATTGATTTGTTATAGGAACATGGAGGACGTTGCGACTTGACAGATTTAATGTGCATCAGTCACCATTTACTACTAAGGGAGTCTTCGGCTGGCGGGGATCGAACCCACGAACTCATGAACATGGGCTCAGCGCCCTACCGACCAGGCTATCCCGACCCCAATTTATGAATTGTAACAGTTTTTTTTATTTTAGATAGTATTATAGTATGCTTGTAGGGGGATATTTTCGTGCCGTGATCTGTCGCGCCAACTACAATCGCCAAAGTGCCAAATAGATTTTAAACTTGCTATTTTGTTTTTGTTTTTTTTAAAAAAAACATGTCGGTGTTTTCCTGGGGATGACTTCGAATTATACCTTTCGAGTTGATCCCTTTCTGTGATGTTTTTTTTTAAAATTCTTCCGACAGCGCAGGCCGCTGCCCGGGAATTGCCAAGACTTAGCGATTATTCTGCCACAGATCACGGTACGGAAATCTTTCCACACTTCTAGTGTAATAATTGGCGATCGAAATGGGCTGCAGGTGGCGTAGAGCAGAACTCTTTTCCTATGGCAACACTTCACATGCTTTCCCCATTAGCGTGTGGAAAGTCATAGAGGAAGGAAGTACGTTAGTTTCTCTCTTGATTTTCATATAAATTAAAGTCTTTTAACTTGAAACACTATATGGAACTGAAAACTACATTAAACATAGTTCTAAAGAAAAGTATCACGGAAATTTTAGAAAATATTTTTATTAAGTAAAAAGGAAAAATATTAAGAAAAGGGAAAATATCGTAGTACATTCCTATATAACTGAAAAGAGGAGGAGAGGGAAGGGAGAAGGGCTAAAGGCATGAAACCGGTCTCTCTCCAGATGGCGTATTCGAGTGTTGCGATCGCGAATGTTGGAAGGTGCGCTGTTCAAGCATAGGCGTAAAAATTAATCAAAAGTAGTTCCCTGGATTTCTTATGACGAATTTTTACCCCTAGCACCATCTGTGCTTAACTTTACACGGTCAACCTTTCGTACCTAAGGCCGGGATAGCCTGGTTGGTAGGGCACTGGACCCATGTCCAAGAGTTCGTGGGTTCGATCCCCACCGGCCGAAGACCAAGTTGTAAATGTTGACTGATGCACGTTAAAATCTGCCGTGTCACAAAGTCCGCCATGTTCCCATAACAAATCAATACCTCTGGGGGTACTGATTCAGAAGTTTCCTTGTCTTCTGGATTGGGTCAAAATTACAAGGCTACGGAGTTGAACATTAGTAGTCGTAAACCCAAAAATGGGTCGGCTGTTCAACGACGGATATATAAAAAAACCCATCCATACCTGGCGGGGATAGCCTGGTTGGTAGGGCCCTCGGCCCATGTCCAAGAGGTCGTGGGTTCGAAATTGAAGACTCCCCGTGTACTTAATGGTGACTGATGCACGTTTAAATCTGTCGAGTCACTAAGTTCTCCATGTTCCCATAACAAATCAATACCTCTGGGGGTACTGATCCAGAAGTTTCCTTGTCTTCTGGATTGGTTAGAAATTACAAGGCTACGAACGGAGTTGAAACCCAAAATTGGGTCGGCTGTTCAACGACGGATACATAGATATAAAAGACCTTCTTTTACAGAAGCGTCGCTCTAAATCAGACATCGATAAGAATTCTAATTTTATACAAAGCGTACTTTTTCGTCAAGAACAGAGGCATATCTCGCCACAAGTGGCAGGTGAATATTGCTGACGACCAGAAGGATTTAATGCAGTTACATTTTAAGAGCCTTTTTAATATTCTGGTTGTAAAATCACTGGCTGGATTTTTTTTTAAAAGTCTAGTTTGGTGTTACGGTTAAACTGCATTAAAACAGTGGCAGCATTCAAGATAATTTTTTTTTTTTTGGATATTCAACTTCTGTTTTAAATTTGTAGCGTTTATTAAAATTAATTCGTAAGCAATCTAAGATAAAACTCTAACCTTAATTTATTAAAAAAGCAAGTGTTAATATAATAGCGGGTTTAAAAACAACAAATTAAAATGTATTAAAACTACGTTTTTAATAGGAAACAATTTTTTTATTAACAATGTCCTAAAACTAAAAATGAAGAGTTCAGTATTTTCGNTTGATTAGGTCAGAGAGGCATTGCAATGCGACCGCCTGCACAATTCGAATTTCGGAATGAAAATCAAATATTTAACAGTAAAGCGGGAAAATGAAGCGTTATCAATATATAGTTGGCTCTAAAAAGAGACCTTTATTTAAATTTTAAAAAAAATTCAAAGGATTAAAATGAAATCGAGAAAATTATCATCAATGCAACCAACGATTTGCTTACAAACATTGCTGTAAGCGACTGTGAGGAGACAATGCGTGATTGGTTAGCTTGGCGGAGGAAAAAATAATTCGACGATTTCACTGGATGAGAGTACGAAAGCATACAGAAAAAGAGTGCGTCATAAAATCGATTGTTATTAAATTATGACCAAATAATATTTGGAGAACTTTATAAAATTAAAAATACTAAAACATTCTGAATCGTTTTGTCAAAAGAAAAAATTGCCCCTAAAGTATCGGAACGAACTTGAACGATAAATGAGTTTGGCCCACGGACCATATGAACAGTAAAAAGACTAATAAATTGAAACACAAATCACAATAATAAAACTTCCTAGAATATTTAGCCTGTTTACACATGGCCTCGGAAACATAACACAAGCGGAGGGATACACCGGAAGTTGTCTAAATTTATTCCGGTTTTGCGAAGTTTGTTGTAGTTGTTGTTTACATTCAATCAACCATCCATTATTTGCTTTGCTGAGAAATCGAATTTTAAAGAAGTCGATATATTTAAAATTCGATAGATCATTCAGGATGGTCCTTTTTTTTGCGCACTGTTCATCCTGTATTTAGGATGGGAAATGGATGATTGACTGAATGCAAACAATAACAAGCTTCCTAAAACCGGAAGGAATTTAGTAAACTTCCGGTGTATCCCTCCGCTTATGTTATCCTTACGAGGTGAACAGGTTTAATATTCTAAGAAATTTTATTATTGAGATATGTGTTTAAATTTACGCGTAAAATTTTAAGAGTTTTCGTTATTTTATGAATTTTATTTTATTTTATATCCGTCGTTGAACAGCCGACCCAATTTTTAGGTTTACGACTACTAATGTTCAACTCCGTAGCCTTGTAATTTTGACCCAATCCAGAAGACAAGGAAACTCCTGAATCAGTACCCCCAGAGGTATTGATTTGTTATGGGAACATGGAGGACTTGGCTGTTGCACGTTATGTTGACTGATGTAAATGTTGACTGATGCACGTTAAAATCTGCCGTGTCACAAAGTCCGCCATGTTCCCATAACAAATCAATACCTCTGGGGGTACTGATCCAGAAGTTTCCTTGTCTTCTGGTTTGGGTCAAAATTACGAGGCTTCGGAGTTGAACATTAGTAGTCGTAAACCCAAAAATGGGTCAGCTGTTCAAAGACGGTTATATAAAAAAACCCATCCATACGTGCCGGGCACTAGGCTCATGTCCAAGAGGTCGTGGGTTCAAATTCTAACACTCCCTGTGTAGTAAATGGTGACTGATGCACGTTAAATCTGTCAAGTCGCAACATCCTCCATGTTCCCATAACAAATCAATACCTCTAGGGGTACTGATCCAGGAATTTCCTTGTCTTCTGGATTGGACCTCTAGGGGTACAGAACCAGAAGTTTCCTTGTCTTCAGGATTGGGTTCAATATTACAAGGCTTCGGAGTTGAACATTAGTAGTCGTAAATCCGAAATTGGTTCGGATGTTCAATGACGGTTATAAAATAAAATAAAACCATCCAAATCTAGAGTTTAAAAATGAGACAAAAATATTCTTTTCGGAATTGTTTAAATGACTTCTTTTATTTTCAGTTGGTGGCCTCCCTGGGCACCATAGTATTCTATGCACTCGACTACATGATGCCGGACGAGGAAGAAAGGATACTGAGCCGCCCTTTGGAGACCCTCATCGGGAAGATGACATCCACCGCGAGCGCCCAGGGCGTCCTGCAGGAGTACGAAACTGATGACTCCTCACAGAATGCGGATGAGGGAATCGAGCAGGATTCGGGAGAGGATGACCACATCCTGCACAGCGACGATGACGCCAAACATCGGAAGGGCATCTCTCTTATCCAAGTTATAGAGGCATGATCCCTTCTTTCTATTGCTATTTAAAATCAAACCAAATACTTACTGACTGTCTGACTTTTTTTAAAAAAAAGGTTGAGCATAGTTGATACAAAACTAAACGGCCTAATGAAAGAACATGCCAAGTGACATTTTGAAAAAAAACTCTTAATTTTTCGAGTTTAAGAGTACGTTTGAATTATTTGTAAATATATGACATTATTAAATAAATAATCTCCCCAGAAACTGAAGCAGGAAGATAATACTTGATTAATTCATTGGCTTCAAAAGGTTGCGATATCAGCCTATTTGGTATCGGTTAAAAACTCACCAAATTTGTTATACGCTATCTGGCCAAAAGTATCCGGACACCCGGTTGTTATGGTGGTGTTTCTCATGGTTTGGTCTGTGTCCGTTAGTGTCAGTAGTTGGAAAGATGAACCCTGAGATGTGTATGTTGACAATGCTGCACTCTTAACTCTATGGCAATATTCCGGGCCCATTTATCTTCCATTCCCACATCGAGGCTTGCACAGACGTGGTTTGACTAAATGGGTGTTCAAAAACTGGACTGGCCCTCTCAGAACTCACCTTTGGTACGAATTAGAGCGCAGATTACGTAGCCAGATAAATCCTCATTGCAAGCACTCGCTTAAGTTGTGATGGAAGTCAATTCCTATCAAAAAACTGTTGGAAAGTCTTCCCTGACGTGTGTGCAGGTTGTCATGGATGCAAAAGGGGGACCATGCATCATATCAATGTGTGCCTCTAAGTCCATACCACTGGGTGTCCGGTTACTTTTGACCCAAATAGTGCACATTTCATTTTAAATATTATTATATTTAAGAGGACACCATACCACGGGAGAAACTTTTCGTCATAAATTCTCTTTCCTCTCTATTATTAATTTAAAGTGAAGAAAGAGTGAGTTCATCAGACACACCTAGAGTAAACTATGAAGTTTCACACCACAGGGAGAATAGGGAAAACCTGGAAAATACAGGGAATTTAAAAATCACCTATAACAGGGAATTAAGATTCTTTCTTTACGAACTGGTGAAATACAGGGAATATGTATTTCTTCTTTTACAAAATGTTGGCTGCTCAAAGTGCAATCTATGGGATATTTAAAGATAGTTCAGCTATACTACACTATTTAATTTGAAGTCAAGCATCACTGCCTGCGGGTGGGTGACCACTTGGATCAGTCTGCGTAGGGACCGAGGGTGTACGGTATGGGTCCTTGTTAAACTGTTCTATCGTAAAGTGCTCGACTCCGCTTGCAGGTCGACGGGTACCGAAGCGGGGGTGCCATACCCTCTACAGAGGATCAAAATTGTGATGGCATGTCTTCGGATCATCTTCAGGGATGTTTCCGAGACCGTTGCCAATAGCCCATTGTGCAGCTCTAGTGCGACGTAAATGAACTACAACTGTTTCATTTGCTGTATTATTTGTTTTATGTTCCTTATTTCTCTTAAGTTTTTCCAGCAATTAAAACTATTGTTAGTTATCCCAATATAGCTCGCACATTTGCATTTTATGTTTCCTCTTAATATAGTGTGTACAGTATATAGTATATACAGAGAAAACACTGGGATTTTTTTTTTTACAGATTTGAGTGACAACCCTGTTTAAATAATGATTAAAAAAATTTAAAATAAAAATAAAATATGAGGAGACAACTTAACGCAATTGAGAAGTTCTCTTCCAATAAATTATTTGCATGTCGACATTTGTTTTTCAGCAATTGATATTTCATAACTTACTCTACGATTGTCAGAATTCACTTTTTCTTTACTTTAAATTAATTATGGCAATGAAAGATGGTTTGTGATAAAAAATCTCCCCCCCCCCATAATGGTCTAAATTCAAAATTTATTTAGTTTTTTAATTTAATTTTTTTAAAGTTACTCTATTAATCGTTTAAATTTGTGTATAGTAAACCCATTCTTTTGACATCACGATGTCACATTCAATTAACCCAAAAATCAAGCATGCAGGTCACAAGAAATAAAACAAAATATTTAGGTGGAGGCTGAAACTGGACTAATATTTTATTGTAGATAAAGAGATTGTATTTATGACAACACTGCTGCCATCTATATCAGTATTTGTGCTGCCATCTATGTGCAACATGTTAAACTAACTCATTCAACATTTGGTGTCATTTTAAAAAAGTGTATTTTTATATTTACAGCTTTGTGCGAACCACTTATCCTGTCCAGAACAAGCAGACTCTCATTACAGGGCTGTCTGCAGAGCCTTAGTTGCAGAAGTTTTAGAACTTACTACATTCCTAGAAAACATATCCAATAGAACACAGGTATTTATCTGCCTCTGAATATGGATAGTTGACCTTGTAGAGCTAAGCGCAGGTGGCGCTAGGGGTTAAAAAAGTTACTCTAAGGGGTTTTATAAGTTACTCTTTTTTCCATTGGATATCGGATCGATTATCCGGAACGATCGGGACCATCGCTATTCCGGATAACTGATTTTTCCGGTTTTGTGAATCGCTACAAAAAGCCGTTTTTTTATTGTCAAACCCAACTAAAAAAAAAATATTTGGAAATAATCTTAGAAAGAAGAAAAAACGATGAACTAATACACTAATGATTATTTCCGAAATGATGGTAAGGTAAACATCTTTCAAAAAAGAAAGAAAAATCCTAAAATCTTATGAGGAAAATTTTTTTTATTTTAAATGGCCGGAAAATTTATTGAATTTTGTTCCGGTTTTTTGGTTTTCCGGCTTTCTGATTTCCGGATAACGGGCTCTCTACTATTAATTAGTAGATTATAAAATTATTTTTCAATTATATATATTTTTTGAATATATATATATTTTTAAAAGCACTTTTAAATGCTTATTTTCAATATAAATTATAGAAAAATCTTTTAAGGTGTTTATCAATTTTTTTTTACTTACTTTAGTTTGCTTCAAAAAAAAATAAATTTTAAAATATATAGGATATATATGTGTGTGCACAGAGAAACTCTTAGTTTGCCTTTAATTATTATTTATAAACTACAAATTTTCTCTTATTTAGATAATGAGTGAAAATTACTTTTTGAAATATACACACAAAATAGAATAAAAATGGTGACTTAAAAATTGTCGAGGATGAAATTCAGTTATTATATGATATTACAAAATTTGATAAAATTTTTATGGTGTTAAGTGAGTGCCCTTTCAAAACAAAAGATGCCCTTTTCTGTGAGGAAAAATATTATAAGTTTAAAATTTCGGGAAAAAACTATGCATTAATTAATGAATCTCGTGGCTTTAAAAATAGTTTTCATTTATTTGTTGCAATTTTTTCAATAATGAATTTATAATAATTCAGATATTATGCTATTAAGCAGAAGTAAGTTAGCACAAGTTATTATGACACAATGTGTTTGAAGTTGATACCTTAAATCTCATTGAGGAAATAAGTATTTGCCGTTGCATCCTTAATTTTTCATTAAATCTTAGTTTTTAAATCTAGCTAAAAAGTTATTGGAACTGGTATATCTGTGGTTTTACTTACATTTACTTAAATTACTTTTCTAACTTACATTTCTCTTGTTCTGTTAATGTTGATTTCAAATACATGGTGTTTGGCGCTTTTAAAAATTGCTTAAAGGTGCTTATTTTAAATTTTTAAAAGCCTTTAAAGGTGCTTTTTTCATTGGGTGTTTTTACAAAGTGCTTAATTTTCTATTTTCGAAAAGGGGATTTTTTCTTTACCATGTAGATTTTCACCACGTAGTATGTAAAAGTGTGGTTTTCACATTGTTCTATTCAAAGTTTTCACAATTTATTCAACCACAATCCATTTTGGCCTACCGTCGTATGAAAGTGCTAATCGTTTGACCTGTTTGATAAAATACTTGCGAGTCCGCATAGGTGTCTACTGAGCTGGGTTCGGTGAGATACTTGCTCTCTCATGTGCAACTCTGCTGCATATTCTGAAATTCAGGCTTCATTTTCCACCCTCTGATATCAAACCGAAAATCTCTTGATAATTTTATAATAGTTAATATAATCAAAAAAATATTTCTTTGTCAGAAACGAGTTATTTTATCATGATCATGCAAAGTGTTTGAAATTAGTTTGTTAATGTAGATAGTTCTTAAAAATATTTTTTTATTGCTTAAAAAGTACTTAAAATGTGCTTATTTTTTGTTGAAAGATTTGGCTATGCACCCTGAAATATTAATGATCGGTTTTGTTTGTTTTCTTTTCAGATGTTATCGAATGCTTACGAAGATGAAACAGATAGTGGTACTTTAGAAAAACTTCGCATTCAAGATTGGGTATGTGTTCATCTGTAGCAATATCTAAATTTCTTAGATCTAAATTATTTTTTTAACTTAAGCAGTCCTAAGGGTATATTTATATAAAATTTCAATATTTTTATACCTCTTTGTCAAGACAAAATGTAAATAAAAATACAGTCAAATCCTGTTAGCAAAGTCCAAAATAGCGAAATATTCAATGTAACGAATTTTTTCCAAATCCCTATGTGAATCTCCACAGGAACATAGAAAAAATATAGGGATATTACGAAATTCAAAATCCAATTTTATGAAAGAGAAAATAAGGAGCAATTCTCATTTTCTCTCATAATCAAAAAACTTTTCCATTTTTCAAAAGTACATAATGATCTCAGAATTTAAATATTTTTGCATCTTCAAAACAAAAAGCTTCAGATATGAAAGGGGACATATAAAAAAAAATGAATCACTCGAAAGGGACCACCCTGAAAAGACTAAACCCCCAACCCATTAATGTTTGAAGAAGTAAAAATACATGTGGCTGTCCAAAAGAAGAGTGATGAAAATGTTCATAATTTGTAATTTCTACTGTTTCTGAATCATTTGTACTGGAAGAAATTACAGATTACGTTTCTGGTAGATAAGTGATAATAAATCCATTGTTCCTTTTAACTTAACAGTTTTTGTGAGCTTTACAAATATTGATTTGATATTTTCTAACGAACGGATCGAGTACAAACAAATCGAAACTGTAATTAAATGCAACATTTATTATTTTTTTATGCGAAAAATTGCAATGCAACAAAATAATTTCGGTTAATGTAGAAATTTTTAATATCGGTGTAACGAATTTTCATTATTGCACTTCAGTCCCTAGGAATTCTCTAAAACAGGATTTGACTGAATATGTAAATATATGTTTAGATAAAAATATCTAAATAAAGTGATAAATACTGTTCTTAATTGTGTGCGAGTCTTTTGGCATACAATGAGAATGCCCCATAAAATTTTTTATATTAGTACATTAATATAATCCATTGATTTATAATGCATTGTATATGCATGGTATCCGCGCACCTGGAAAGTCATGAAAATTAATGGAAAGTCATGAATTTCAGTATTGAGCAAAATTTGTCATGAAATGTCATGATTTTTACTATTTTTAAAAAAAAAAAATCATGGAAAGTCATGGATTTAGGTCGCCAAAAAATCTAATTTTTAAAATGGAACCCCCCCCCTCTATGTTATCCTGTTCTAAATATCCAAATTCCTAACATAATCACTACTGACAGTCATATTTAATTAGAATATAAAATGTCTTTATCATGTTCTAGAACGAAAAGGAAAAACAGGAGAAGGAGAAAGAAAAAACCTTTCTAGAGCGAATTATCTTTTAAACTTCTGTGATTTAAGAATTTTTATTATTTATTTATTTTTTTATCAATTTAAATTTTAAATGGATGCAAGCTAATTATTGGCTGTTTTATTTGTATTTTGAAATGAGAACAGACAAATAAGGAGTATTTCTTTCTTTTCTGATGAACAAGAAAAGAATCTCTAGAATATAATTCTGCAGAAGAAAAAAGAAATTGCTTTTTATTTTTATTTCAGCTATTTTATTGCTTCAACTCTTTCTTTACTCTGTTTTTTAAATTTATAATCTGTAAATATGAAGATGCAGAGTATAACAGTTTTGGTTATAATTATAATTTCAATGAATGTTATTATAATGCTTTTTTAAATTTATTGTTACGTTTTTGTCGGAGAAAATAGTTAAGTCAGTAATAGTAAAATAGTTCTTTAAGTACCGAAAAATTGTTGGAATTAATCATGGAAAATCATGAATTTGAAAGTCTGAAATGTAGCAGATACCCTATCAATAGTTGAATTGTGTATTGAAAGATTTTTTTTTGTTTCAATTAAACCATAACCATTGATAAAACCATTGAAAAACCACTCTGGAAGAAATAGGATTTTTCAAACCAATAGGTAAAAACTGTTTTAAAAAAGAAATATCAAATATTTTGATTTTTTATGATTGCTATCTTTTAATGAAAACATAAATATTATCTTGGTTTTTGTAAGGAATAAGGACTGAAGACGTTAAATTGTGCTCTTTTTTTTTAAAATTTTGTTCTGTGGATTGAAAATTAAAATTGAATTACTTTTAAAACCTGTCTCTGCAAAGGTTACTTTACAAAACATGGTATGTCTTAAATATTTTATGTAGATGTTTTAGTATAGATGTGTTTTGTAGATGTTTAACTAAATGGTTGTTTATAGTTATTTTGAAAAACTTTAAAAGAAAAAGAAAGTAAAAATTTTATGCCTAAGTAATTGTATAGATTCTTGTTTCGCTTTAATTATAGACAAATTACATAAAATTAATTCCAAATCTTAGTTCTATATTTTTAAATAAATATTTTTTTTTTGTAGATCACAATTGTTTTTTTGCCTCTTTACTTCCAGCACGAAATTTATCACCCATTTTTATTCCCTCCCAGAAGCATAAAAATGTGGCTTATTATTGTTTCACTATAAGGCTTTTAATTGTAAGGTTCCTGCATAATGAAATTGTGCTGCTAGACTGTTATATTTTTTACAAAACGTTTTTACTTTGTTGCTAGATTAAAATCATTATCATTATAGAATATTGAATGTTTAAAACTTTTGCATGCCCAAATCTTGTCCATTATTTATATTATGCATTTATAATTTTATTGACAAAAATTGTTTGTATTTGTGCCCTTACAAGGAACATGAAGCTCCCCATAAATAATACAGGGGTGTTTGCCACAGGGAGTGAAAGGTTACATGTAGTTTTCATCCTCGCATCGTGTTTGCCACCCCCCCCCCTTCCAATCGTTGAAAGGGAGTGTCTGGGTAGGGCAAAGGGGTTAGTGTATGTTTGCAGTCATTGTCATGCCAAGGACTAGNAACCCTTGTAATTTTATGGGTGAAAAATCTATATCAATATATGTATCACATGTTTAATATTTAACAAAACTTTTTGAACTAACATTTATAATTAAATAACCTACTAATGCAAACACCTTTAGAATAACTAGTTCAAGAAAAAACATACTTCTTACAAGAATAGCGGTATTGGATTTTAAAAAAGCGAAAATACAAATTGCAATCGTGAATTTTTAAATGGTTTAAATACGAATCACTGTGCACAATTATTACATTGCGTGAATACGAATAGCAATGCATAGATTTTAAATCGCGTATAAATGCGAAAATGTTTGATATTACAAAAGCATGAATACGAATCTCAATATTGGATTTTAAAAACGAGTGAATACGAAACTCGGCATTGGATTTTAAACTCGCTTAAACACGTATCGCGATTTTTTATTTAAAAGCGCGTCAATCCAAATAGTGATATTGGATTTTTAAATCATGTGAATAGGAATTGCGATGTGCAATTTTTAAATCGTGTGAATACAAATTGCGGAATTCTGCAATATGCATACCAAAATCAATGCCCTGCTTTTAGTTTTCAGACCCGGAAGAATGATGCAAAAAAAACCAGGAATTCCGCAATACAACTATCCCCCGGAATACAATCACCCCTGATAATTTTTATTAATAATTTATCTGCCCTCCTTCCCACTCAGCCATTCCTCTTAACCATGAACATCAGACTAAAAAGTTTTGTTAAAAATGCAGGCCAGATTATGGATGCAGGTTATCCACCAATTAAGACAAGGTGTGAAATTGAAGAAAGTGGACGAAGCACAATTGCAGCATCCTATCGAGTACGCCCTCACTCCGTATGAAATGTTGCTGGACGACATACGCTCAAGGCGCTACAAGCTTAGGCAAGTTATGGTAAGACAAAGCTTTTTCTTTACTACAACTCATAAATTCACCTGTAATCTTTTGAAACAGTAAAAAAAAAAATCATATTTAATCAAATATCCCAATTTTAAAAATCCTGCTAATCAAGTGTGAGTTGTTAGCCATTTTTAAAATTATTTTATTGAAATATAAGTTCGTGGATTTTCAAACTGATTCACTGTGGTATTTATGAAATTCATTTTGATTAATTATTTCCCCAGATATTAATTAAATACAAATTTGTACCATAAAGGCATTTGGGGCATTCGAAAACTGCTATTTTGATTAACAACTTATCTATTTTTTTTATCCTTTAATGCTGGATTTTTAGCTAACCGCGATACGGAAATTTTTGAAATTCCAAGGTCCAGAAGTTTTAAGAAATCATCAATCCCATTTATGTTTAAAAATTCTTGTATATTTTTTTTAAAAATATTAGAACTAGAATTTATGCTTGGCATCTCTTTCATTTGTTTCATTTCATTTCATTTTCTGGTGGAATAATAAATGTGATTAGAGACGAAAGTAAACTTATCCATAATTATAAATTTAAATTATGCTGCGTATAATTTATTTAGAATTTCATGTTGTGAAAATATCAATGATTTAAATTTACGAAGACATAAATTTTTTTAAATGTGTCATTAATGATTTTATTAGAGAAATTTTATGGATTTTTGAGTTGGGCTCACCCCTGTAGAAAATAAATAAATAAATATTAATATAGGGCATGACATTTCTATTCTAAAATGTATTAGGCAAAAAAAAAATTTCTTGCCGCTATTTCACAAAAATTATAAACCATTTTTAAAGTGTTAACCAGTGAATTACGATTAATAATTTGTGTCTTAAACCATAAAATAGTGGAAAAAACTGAAGCACATTTGTGGTAAAGTAATAATAATTATACTTAGTTACAAGTCAAACTGTCTGGAAGAGGCAGACTGAGAAAGCCTCTACCTGCACTGAGCTGTAGTGCTGTTAAAGAAGAAGAATATATTATCTATCATTAAAAATCATCATCATTAAATCATGTTATTAAAAGTCACCACATCTCATTAATAGTTAGTAAAATAAGAAAAATATCAGAATTCCGAAAAAGTGGCTAAATCCACACAATTCTTAGAACCATCTATTTATGAATCATGCTTTGAAAGTAATTGTTTCTTAACTGCTTTGCCATTTTAGGTCTTATTGCTTGATATTTGATGAATGTATAACTTTATATTTGAAATATTCAGATTCCTGTAATCTTTCCAGGTAAATGGTGATATTCCTCCTAGAGTGAAAAAAGATGCACATGCCCTCATATTAGAATTCATTAGGTCCAGGCCTCCTCTAGTACCCGTAAATATGCATTCCTTTCCTATTTTTACTATTGTTCCTTTGCAATGCCCTTTTTTTAAAAAAAAGTGCAATGACCTTCCTCCTTAAAGATAGAGCTTGTTTTTTTTTACTAAGTTTTATTTTGTGGTATTTTAAACAGCAAAAAAAAAGTTACACTCTGAATATCTTTTGACCTTAGGATCCTATTTGCTTATAGAGTGGCAGATATCTATGTAACGCAATTCTATGAACTTCTATTGCAAACTCCGCAATACTCTAGCAATAAAAATCGTGTCTTGAAGAAATTTCTGCATCTGAGCGAAAACCATCAACAGTTCATTGGCTGCAAGAAAACTTATTTTATTCTCTGAGAGGTTACCATATCTACAGCTAACCAAAACTTCTGCAGTGTTTTTTTTTCTTCTTTTCTTTATAATTCTAATGCTTTTAATATTTTTAGATTTTTTTCTGTAAGTAATAAATACTTCAGTGCATGTCTTTGTGTATTAAAGTAGGTCTCATCTAAAAATTATTTTAACGAATTTGTTTCCGATGTATATTGTGATGCTCATTAAATAAACTTAAAAATACATGAATTGATCTGCATGACTCAAAATTCTATTTAATCAGGGTGCGTAGCGTTTTTAAAAAATGCTTAAATGTGCTAATTTTAACAGGGTTTGTAAAATGTGCTTAATTTTCTATTTTTTAAAGAGAGATTTTTTCTTTGCTGTGTCGATTGTTGTTCTAAATTACAAAAAATGCATGGTTTAGACAATTTTCTCTGCAGTATTTATCAGAAACTAGTTATTTTATCATGGTTATGTAAAAGTTTTTGAAAATATTTCTAAATTTTATTGATTTTTTGTTTATAAATTAAGAACTTTAAACTATAGGGGGAAAAATTTTTATTACTGCACAGATCCTAATTAGGATTTTTTTTGGGGGGAAGTGAAAATATTTTTTGAGTGCTTAAAAAGTAAAAAGGTGCTTATTTTTTGTTGAAAAATCTGGCTACGCACCCTGTCAATGCATTATAAAGATTTTTTTTCTGTAATAAGATTGAAACCTCGTGAACTGTCACTCATCAAATTTATGAATGTGACCAATTTTATTGTGAAATGTGACAGACCAAAAATAAAATTCATTTTGAACATTGAGAAAAGATTTGCTAGAAAAGATTAAGACCTCCAACTGATATGCTCGAAAAGAGTACCAATACAGAGGCTGTCCTTGTCTTCTGGGTCAATATTTTGCTGCATTCTTTCCATGCCCTTAAAATATAGAGTGGTAAAAAATATGGCTAGGCCATAGCCGCACCTTGTCACCAACTTTCTCTGAACATTAGATACTCTAATAGAAGATTCACTTTTTGATTTATGGCACATTTTTGCAAAATCACCTAAGGATGAAATTTGTAAATTTGGCAATTAATTTAACTGATTGAGAAATGTAATAATTATTCAAAATTTTTTTTAACTTCCTTAGAAGTATAACTAAAAAATGCATTGAGATGTATTGTAGCAATCATAATTTTTTGCAGTTACTGGTAAAAAAATTTTTTTCAGGTACTTTTTTTTAAATTGATTTTTGTACCCACTTTTAACAGCACTTTAATAATTGATAATAATAAATTACTATAAATATTGTTTTGTCAAAATAATACAAAATAGAAATTAAAAATCTAAAGTCAGGAANAAACCTCATGAACAGTCACTCATCAAATTTATGAATATGACCAATTTTATTGTGAAATGTGACATACCAAAAATAAAATTCATTTTGAACATTGAGAAAAGATTTGCAAGAAAAGATTAAGACCTCCAACTGATATGCTCGAAAAGAGTGCCAATACAGACGCTGTCCTTGTCTTCTGGGTCAATATTTTGCTGCATTCTTTCCATGCCCTTAAAATATAGAGTGGTAAAAAATATGGCTAGGCCATAGCCGCACCTTGTCACCAACTTTCTCTGAACATTAGATACTCTAATAGAAGATTCACTTTTTGATTTATGGCACATTTTTGCAAAATCACCTAAGGATGAAATTTGTAAATTTGGCAATTAATTTAACTGATAGAGAAATGTAATAATTATTCAAAATTTTTTTTTTAACTTCCTTAGAAGTATAACTAAAAAATGCTTTGAGATGTATTGTAGCAATCATAATTTTTTGCAGTTACTGGTAAAAAAATTTTTTTTCAGGTACTTTTTTTATTGAGTTTTGTACCCACTTTTAACAGCACTTTAATAATTGATAATAATAAATTATATAAATATTGTTTTGTCAAAATAGTGCAAAATAGGAATTAAAAATCAGATTGTCACATTGTTTAAGCAGTCATTAAAGGTCTTAATTTTTCAATCAATGAAGACACATGCAACGAATTTTTTACTGTATACAGCCCATGGCCAAAATTATTAGACGCACTCTAAGATTCTATGTAAAATCTTAATTATCAGGTGATACTATACAGCTTTATTGTTTTTATGCGGCTGAAACACTTTTGCACTTGTTTACATTTGTGTATCAATTGGTTAACATTGTAATGCAATGCATTTAAAATAAATACAAATAGGAAGTATATAAAAAATCTCCTGAATTAAAACCCATTACATGTATGTGTAAATATAAAAGTATTGCAACTAGTGCAAAGCATGTAATTATTAAAAAGCTACATTGCATCTAATAATTTGGTCTAATTATTATAATATACTAATATAATAACTTATATAATAAATATTCTATATTTATATAATATATCGTCTAATTTATCCAATTGATACACAAACGTAAATAAGTTTAAACTGGTTTCAGGCAGGTAATAACAATGAAGCTGTATGGTATCGCCTGATAATTAAGATTTCAACTAGAATCATACAGTGCATCTAATAATTTGAACAGGGGCTGTATAGCAATTGTATATGTCCATATTTTAATATTTTCGAAAAATATAATTACATCAAATAGGAGATCTGTCCCGTTTGTAATATTGCAAAATATTTCTTATAAGTGTTACATTTTTATGTAAAAAAACCCTTTTTTTATTTTTAGGTTTATTTTACTCAGATTTTTTTTTAACTTATGAAAATAATAGCAATGCCAATATTTTTTATATATAAAAAAAATGTTTTTTGTATTAACTATCTTAGGTGTTTCTTATGTTGAGATTTATTTGTGAATTTGTAATATAAAGTTAGTTTTACTATAATGCTTGAGGTATGAAATTTTTTTGATCTTTTACTAGGTGTCTGAGAGGAAGCTACCGCCTACACCTCCTAGACAGCTTACTGTATATGAGAAGCTAATGGCATCTATAAAACAAGAACACAAGTTAAAACCCACACCCACAGCCTCTCCTGTGCCTGAAAGGGTAGGAAAGAGGAAAAGTAAGCAGAATTATGGTTTTGTTTTGAAATAACATCTTAAAAGAATGAATTATTTATATTCAATAAAATATTCAAAAAAATTAATATACTAATACCAGATAGCAAAATAAGGTTTATTTCCAGTAAGCAAAAAACCTTTTAATGTAAACCTAAAAAGGTTTGTAATGAGGTTTACGTGTAAACCTTCAAACAAGATCTGTGACAATCTGCTCTATTCTACGCACATTACCCTAATCCAAAACCTTGAAAAACAACCTTCTATATAAAAACCTTAAATCGAGGTTGTCTTTGGGTTTTATGAAAAAAACCTTAATTAAAGCTAGTCACTTTTAGTTAATCACTTTTTGACTCGCTCAATTTACGACGATGGTATCGTAACGCAATGTAATGTTTCGATTGTATTATTGGCTGTTACTGATATTGATTTTCAGTTGGATTTTAAATATTCCGATATATTTCTAACAGTATGGAAAATTTGAATCGGACATTTGAGTATTTGCTTTTTAAGGCAATAATTCTATAGAATTTTTGAGCAGTTATTACTATAGATTTCTCCATAGTTATTAAATCTTAAATTTTTTATTCCATAACATTTCGATACAACAACCTAATCTCGAAAAGAAAAACATATTTGAGTAATCCCTTTTTGAAGAGTTCTATTCTCGTGATTTTGTCCTCTATCTTTTTTTCGACAATTACCACTACGGATTTCATGAGTTTTACTTTTTTTATTGTGATAATTATTTACAAAATGCAAGAAAGGAAATAACTAGTGTGTTCACCCCCCCCCCCAACAAAATAACAAAATGCGAGAATACCACACATAATATTAGAATAAAAAATTATTACATGTTCAATTTAAAAGAATTCTATAGTTTTTTTTTTGTAGTTGTAAGCAAAGCGCTTTTGTTATTAGTAACATATATGTTTGTTATTATTAAAGGTATCTTGCAGAAAGATATTAGTGCTGGACCATTATGTCCCAAATAGCTCTAAAAAATTCTGCCACAGGGCTATTTTTTATGTTAGAATCCTTATATTATTAGGTTAAAATGTGCTTCAAAAAAACAGTTATAAATATGTGTGTTTTTGTATATTTTATTTTTAGTTGAAACTTCTCGAACAAAGCTAGAGGACACAGATGATACGCCACAACCGCAAAGACGACTTATTAAAGCAGACATTAGTTTAGGTTTTTCTTCAAGTTACGAGGCAAGTATTTATTTAATGGCCAATGCTTTTTTTTTCTAAAAGAAATAGCTTTTCTTTTCTTCATTTTCTAGATTTCATTAAAATAAAGTTAGGTAGTTTTTGTAATTCTAGATTTTATTTTAATAAAATTACTTGGATCTTGTAATTCCTGATTTTATGGAACAAACTTTTCTTTATAATTCTAGATTTTATGGAAACAAAGTTAAGTGGATTTGAAAGTTCCATATTGTATTGAAACAAAATCAAGTGTTCTTTATAATTATTATTCTAGATTTTATTTTTTAAAAAAAGTTGGTGAATTTTATGATTGCAGACTTCATTCAAATGAAGTTGAGCAATCTTTGCATATTCTTAAGAATTGAAAATAATTGTTACTACTTCATTTTCCTGAAAATAACTAGATTTGGCAATTTTATCCTGGTGTTCTAATTTAAACAAAACTTCTGTATGCATTCGTATATTTTAAAAAATTTTATGAAATCTAAAGAACTCACTGTAAGAATCCCTGTCAAAATGAATCTATACTCAGATAATTGATGGCTTGTAAATTTAAATAAGTATCAGCAAAGCAAGTGTTACTTATAATTTAAAATTTTGAAAATTTCGTAAATTTTTCTTATTATCTTTTTTAATAAAAGCTTTATTTTTAAATCAGTTAGAAAAGAATTGGTATCTAATATTATCACAAATGTTTTTAATGTATTTGTTATTCAATAATCTGTCATAACTATCTGAAATAAATTCATTCAAAATTATGAATTGAAGAATGCAACGAACCTAATGAAAAACTTTAATATTAATTTATTTAGTGTTTACAGGGTGGCCACATTGCAGTGAAAAATCAGGGAATTATGTATAATTTTAAAAAAAGTCAAGAAAAATGAATTAATTAGATTTTCAGGTACCCAAAAGTTCAATATTTTCGTTAAAGTAGTCTTGCAATAATTTTTCTTAAATTGGTCTCATAATAATTATGAAATAAAAAAAGGTTATTTTTAAATCTAGTAGCAAGTGTAAGACCTATCACTATCAACTTTTTATTGTATCAATTAGGGGTGAGATTAGTTAAAGTTGACCGGGATAGCCTCATTGGCAGAATGTGGGATTCATGTGCGTGAGAACAGGAGTTTGAATCTAGCCAGGCAAAGACTCACTGTGTAGAAAATTTTGACTGGTGTATGTTAAATCTGTCTGGTCACAAAGTCCTCCATGTTCCCATAACAAATTATACCTGTAGGGGTACTGAATTGGGGATTGACCATTCTCTGGTTCAGGTTAAAAGTACGATCTGTGGATGAATGAATGGGTTCGTCCTATAAACTGGTGTGACGTATGGGTGTGGCTGAAGTCTAATTCTTGGCCACAGGTGGCGTCACTGGAAAACAAGAACAATTGCACCTTTTCCCTTAATGGCCTACGACGGCAACAGCATTAGCTAAAGTTTGTACCTACAAAATGGTTGTGGTTTCTTTTACATGGTGGTTCTACATAATGTGGGCTCCTCTTATTTGATGTACTTGTGCTTAACATAAAAGTTTTGTGACTTATTTTATGGATGAGAATAAGGTATTGCCAAAAAATTAGCAATGAAATTTATACTACCAGTTGCAGAAATTGATAAAATTTTATAAAATCAGTTAGGGAGTTTTTTTCCTGAGTGATTGTGACCATATTAATCCATATTATACAATCAGTCTAAAAAATCAGTTAGAGAGTTTTTTCCCTATGTGATTGTGGCCATCCTGTGTTGGTCACAAACCTATAACAATTTAAATTTATAGTTATTAGTGTATACATTATCGTGAAAGACCGAAATCAAGAGAATGTCAATTTTTACCAGTGAAAGTCAGCAATTACATAGTCGCTTCGGTGAATGCCAGAAATATTTGTTATATCCGAGTTGGTATTCATTTATTCGTTGATATTATAACATTTATTTGATATTTTAATATCTGCTAAAAATAGATTAGGAGAACCATCAGTGTTCAGAGTACCAGTTAAATGCATACTGGGCAAGGGCACTGGTCCTTAAAAATACAATGGTACACCGGGCAAATGCATACCGGGCTGTGGCACCTAACTAGACCTAGTATATATTTTGGACATTTACCAAAGCAACTGTGATTGTTAACATTCACTGGCTTAAGTAAACAACCACCAATTTCAGTTATTCACAGTTACATATATATTAAATGCTGTAGTTTTTAAGCATTTTTGTACTTTATTTGCCATTGCAAAAAATATATTAAGTTCCTTAGATGTAGAGTATTTCACATGTTATGCACTTATGTAGTAGTTAGCGTGAAATTTCTATTTTATGGTATAATCTATTTGCCTTGACAGCTTTAAAATTATGACCTAGATTTATAGATATATTCACTAATTAAAAAGTTTTTTGCTTTTGGAAGTTGATGGAATGATTTAATTTCAATTCTAATGTTCGGCGAAAAGTAGATTGATGAGTATATGTGTATAAATCAGGGTTCGTGATTTTTTAAAAAAAAAAAAATTTAAAAAATCAGATTGTTTTCATTTAAATCGGATTTTTTTGATTTTTATTCAAATACACTGTAAGAACTTTGATTGATGACTAAAAAAACTTTATAAATGTTTAATCAAAATTAAATTAATATTAAAACTATATTATAAAAATATTTTAGAAGCTCTAACTACCTAAAACAATTTTTCATTATAATACATAGCTTTGAATGCATAGCAACCATTTTGAAATGAATGCATGATTTAAATTTAAAGACTAGATGAAATAGGAAATTTCAAGAATACTTTAACTATTAAAACAAAGTTTCAATTACCAAATCATAATTTTAATTTAAAATTGTGATTTCTTCTTCTTTTTCTTGATTTTTAAAATGACAAAATAAATGTAACAGATTGTGTTTATAAATGTAGTCATTCATCAAAAAAAAATATATTTAATTTATATATTTTACATTAAAATATTCATTTTTAATCCTGTATCAAAATTGACAAGTTACGCTAAAAAATAAAAATGAAAAAATCTATGTATTCAGTGAAATTTTTTTCCGCAAAATTTCTTTATCGAAAATCTGATAATGTCAAAGATACTGTAAACATATTATGAGAAAAAAAATACTTAGATGTTTACTTTAATCTGTACTTTCAATCTCAAGAATCAAAATATTTTTAAAAATGTAATTTCAGATGTGTTGGAATTTAACATATACCAAGAAAGAAAGTAATTTCGTTAGCTAAAATGAATTAATGTAGCTATATTAAATTTTAAAACTAATGCAGCAATTAATTTAAAATAAATTTTAAAAATTATCTAAAATAAATTTTTATAAGAAAAGAAATAATAAAAGTATCAATAATTTAATCATTTGATTTAAATGATTAAAATAGTGATATAAATCAAGCTAATTTAAATCAACAAACCCTGGTACAAATATGTCAATTTTTTTAAACATTTCAATGTCTAAGAATTAATGTTTTATCTCAGGATATTGATGATCTACCTCAGACTCCTCACGAGGAACCGAAGTCACTACCTCTTCAAAATCGAAGTAATCGGCAGTCTTCCATTGAACGTAGTAATAGTCAAATAGGTAAACCTTTTTCCATCATTCAATTTATATGAAAATTAAATGAACATTTGAATTATTAAAAGTAATTGTCAGTCTTTCATTAAAGTTATTGATTGGTGGCCTGATAATGGTTTCTCAAACATCCCATTCATATGAAGATTAAATTAGAATATCAAATAATTACAGAGTATCTGCGCACCTGGAAAGTCATGAAAAATCATGGATTTTGGTATTGAACAAAATTTGTCACGAAATATCATGATTTTAACTATTTTTGTTTTAAAACAAAATCATGGAAAGTCATGGATTTAGATCTCATTTTTAAAATGGAATTTACAAATTTCACAGTTTTTAATGTTCCGAATATCTGAATTTGTAACAAAATCCCCACTCATTGTCATATTTTATTAAAATATAAAATGTTTTTATCCTGTTCTTTAAAAATTATGATGTTCTTTCAAAAAATGAAAGAACATAATTTCTAGAGCGAATTATCTTTTAAACCACCATGATTTTCAAGTTTTTTAATCTATTATTATTTTTTTATTTTATCAAATTAAAATTCTAGTATAGACTTTTTATATAACACTTACCTTTAATAAGAAATAAAACAGGTTTAAATAACTACATATATCTGACTGTATTTAGTTATTTGCTTTTGTATTTTTTTTCCAGCTACTTTATCAATTCAACTCTTTCTTTACCCTGTTTTTTAAATTTAAAATCTATAAATATGAAGATGCTGAGTATAACAGTTTTGGTTATACCTATCATTTCAATGAATGTTATTATAAAGCTTTTTTTTAAATTTATTGTTGTGTTTCTTTACTCTGTTTTTTAAATTTAAAATTTATAAATATGAAGATGCAGAGTATAACAGTTTTGGTTATACCTATCATTTCAATGAATGTTATTATAAAGCTTTTTTTAAAATTTATTGTTGTGTTTTTGCCAGAGAAAATAATAACTTCGTTAAGTCATGAAAATTCTTGGAATTAGTCACGGAAAGTCATGGATTTGAAAATCTAAAATGTAGCAGATATCCTGTATATATTGGGTTCAGAATGTTGAAAAGATTTGATAATGTTTTTCTAACTTTAAAGAAAATGTATCTATAATGTAGAAATGTTTTTTTAATTTATTTTGCAGAAAGTGTGGGGAGTAGAGAAAGGAGACACAGCATCAGCGTGTGTGAATCTCCTCCTAAGTCCGGTGACCAGACGCCACAGTGTGAAGGAACTCTGAAATATTCCACACCATTCTATGAATGTTCTAGTCGGACAAGATCCGACTATTGGAAATCTGTAAGTGATTTCTCAATATATATATATCCTTTTTGTGGATATAATTGTGCGAGCTGATAATGAGATATCTTTTAAATTTTTTGTTTTCCGGCCTTTTAATATATACAGTAGGGAACCGATTATCTGGAACGATCGGGACCATCGCTATTCCGGATAACTGATTTTTCCGGTTTTCTGAATCGCTACAAAAAGCCGTTTTTTTTTATTGTTAAACCAAACTAAAAAAAAATATTTGAAAATAATCTTAAAAAGAAGAAAAAACGATGAAGTAATACGCTAATGATTATTTCCAAAATGATGGTAAGGTAAACATCTTTCAAAATAGAAAGAAAAATCTTAAGATGAATTTTTTTTTTTTTTTAAAAAAATGGGAAAATTTATCGAATTTTGTTACGGTTTTTTGGTTTTCTGATTTCCAGATAACGGGTCCTGTACTGTATTTTTTAAATATTTTATTTTAAGAATTTTTCTTTTTCTCTTTTCAATATCCTTTAATATTTTCCATGTTTTCTCTATATTTTAAACTTATTTTAGTAGTTACATATACTTGGAGCTGCTTATGTGCAGTATATAAAACTTATTAATTTTCTTCCTTTTTTTTTCTTTTTGTCTTATTGTGCTATTTATTTATATATATATGTGTGTATATATATATATATATCAGGAATCTGTCTAGGTTTTTCTGAGAGGTACCTATTTTGCAAAAATTTAGACATAATTTGTGAAAATTAAAAATTATGTTAAAAAAAAAATCAACGAAAAAATATGGATTTATCGCTTTTTAAGGGATACAAATATAAAATTTTACGAAAAAGTATTTTGTGAAACTACCATTTTCTCTAAAGTTGAATTTATGAAGGTACCGCTAAACGGTAGTAAATTTGACCTGAACAGACTGTGGCAGAATTTAGACTTGCGGTGGGTCCTGACTGTCTTACGCACCACCTCCACTGCATTGGTATTTTTCCAAGTCCTAATTGCCCACTCTGTAGGAAATTCGAATTTATGGATAGGAAGCACCTGATAGGATGTTCGGCTGTACACGGAGACTCCGAAGTGAAAAGATATTGGAGTGCTAGGCAACTGCTAATGAGTCATTGACTTTTTTTCTCTTATCTATTTCATTTGCATATATTCTTCTTGCTAAGAGTTTGTCAATTTCTGCCATTGAAAATAAATAAAATATTTAAAAGAAGCATTTGAAAGTAAGATTTTTTCCGTTGGTCATCATAGATTGCCTTTGTGGGGGGAGGGAGGTTGGTGAGGGATGATTTTGGTAGCAGTTCCCACCAAGGAAATGTTAAAGATCTCTTGAAATAATGTAATTTATAAATTTTTTTTTGAATTACAACAGAAAGTTTTCTTCTTTTGTATATAAAGATTATGTATATAAGTATATAAAAAAATATTTATTGAAAAATTGTGATATTAGAGGAAGCTGTGTTCCTTCCTTTATAAAATGTGAGAGATCAGAGACCCCCTCTGCCACCCCCCGAGTTATGTAGTTCCTGCAACTGTTGATTTTGAACAGANAGGTTTTTGCATTAGTATCAGTGCAAAAGCTTGGCAACTGCCAGGCAGTAACATGTTAAAGAAAAAGGATCATAGAAATGGACCCACTTGTAGCCATCACAGGCAAACATTTTTTATTTTGAACATTTACTAGTTGTACAAAAACTTTTGATGCTTTGACACTAGCAATTTGTCCGAAAAGGTATCAATGTAGAAATATACACAGCAGGTAAAATATATGTGTATGTAGGGCTTATAAAATATGATCACCATTGGTGACTAATAAATTTTGTGTGGTGCCTATATTCTATCTTTTATGTGTCGCCACGGGGTCAACAAAATACTATAGGTGGCTCTAATTGAATAAAATGTATGTTCCAAGGTCAATTAGCTTAATTTCAGCTTAAAAAAAATTAGTGTGATTAATTGAGTGTAATTACGGTCCCCCTAATTTTCTTTTAAAAAATTACATGTATAACACTAAAAAAATTTCAAGTCAAAAATTTTTGATTTGTACAAAATGTAATAAACATACTTTTATAAATTATGGATAGTTTTATTAAAGATATCAGGGGTCTGTCTAGGTTTTTCTGAGAGGTACCTATTTTGTAAAAATTTAAACATAATTTGTGAAAAATTAAAAATTATATTAAAAAATCAACACAAAAATATGGATTTATCGTTTCTTAAGGGATACAAAAATGAAATTTTAAGAAAAAGTATTTTGTGAAGCTACCGTTTTTCCAAAAATTGAATTTGTGTAACTACCGTTTTTCCTAAAGTTGAATTTATGAAGGTACCGCTAAACGGTAGTAAATTTGACCTGAACAGTCTGTGGCAGAATTTAGACTTGCGGTGGGTCCTGACTGTCTTACGCACCACTTCCACCGCATTGGTATTTTTCCGAGTCCGAATTGTCCACTCTGTATGAAATTCGAATTAATGAACAGGAAGCACTTGATGGGATGTTCGGCTGTACACGGAGACTCCGAAGTGAAAAGATATTGGAGTGCTAGGCACCTGCTAAGGAGTCATTGACTTTTTTTCTCTTATCTATTTTATTTGCATATATTCTTCTTGTTAAGAGTTTGTCAATTTCTGCCATTGAAAATAAATAAAAAATTAAAAAAAACATTTGAAAGTTCTTAACTATTTCTGTTGGTCATCATAGATTGCCTTTGTGAGGGGGGGGGNGAGGGGGGGGGGGTAGGCTGGTGAGGGATGATTTTGTAGCAGTTCCCACCAAGGAAATGTTAAAGATCTCTTGAAATTAAGTAATTTATTATTAGTATTATTATTATTTTTTTTTTTTTGGAATTACAACAGAAAGTTTTCTTCTTTGGTATACAAAGATTGTGTATTTAAGTATATAAAATTTTTTTTATTGAAAAAGTGTGATATCAGAAGAAGCTGTGTTCCTTCCTCTATAAAATGTGAGGGATCAGAGACCCCCTCTGCTACCCCNCCCCCCCCCCCCAAGTTATATGGTTCCTGCAACTGTTGATGTTGAACAGAATTTTTACAAGATGTAAAGAATTTACTTTAGGACATTAGGCAATCTTCTAATAACACAATTCAATTCTGGTATTTTTGCAAACTAAAGAAGGATAGATTCTTCCTTTATCAAATAATTAGTTAAATTTAATTGCTTCAATTTTTTAAAAAATTTTTATCTCATTTTTTACTACATTTATAAATGCAAATTTTGCTTTGTGATTTTTCACAAAAAGTGGTATTGTAAAACAATTTTTCCAACATTTTTAAAAACACTATTATCAAGGCATCCACACGCCTGGAAAGTCATGAATTTCGGTATTGAACAAAATTTGTCTTGAAATGTCATGATTTTAACTATTTTTTTAAAAAAAATCATTAAAAGTTATGGATTTAGGTTGCCGAAAAATCTAATTTTTTAAATGGAATCCCCCCCTCCCCCAATTTCATGGTGTTCCGAATATCTGAATTTGTAACAAAATCCCCACTCACAGTCATATTTGATTAAAATATAAAATGTTTTTATCGTGTTCTTTAAAAATTATGGTGTTCTTTCAAAAAATGAAAGAAAAAACATCATTTCTAGAGCGAATTATCTTTTAAACTTCTGTGATTTCAGAATTTTTGTTATTATTTTTTATTTTATTTTATCAATTTAAAATTTTAGGTAAAGCAAGCCAGTAATTGGCGAATTTTATTATTCCGAAATGCAAACGGAAAAATCAGGAGCATTTCTTTCCTTTCCGATGAACAATAAAAGTTGCTTAAGAATGTAATTCTGCCGAAAAAAAGAAAGAAAAAATTATTTGCTTTCGTATTTTTTTCAGCTATTTTATTGCTTCAACTCTTTCTTTTAAATTTAAAATCTATAAATATGAAGATGCAGAGTATAACAGTTTTGGTTATACCTATCATTTCAATGAATGTTATTATAATGCTTTTTTAAATTTATTGTTGTGTTTTTGTTGGAGAAAATAGTAACTTCGTGAAGTCATGAAAAATTCTCAGAATTAGTAATGGAAAGTCATGAATTTGAAAATCTAAAATGTAGCAGATACCCTGTATTTTTCTTTTTAAAGTCATTTCATGAGGCTTTAATTTTATTTTTCAAGCCATTAACATTCTAGTTCTTTTTCATTTTCAGTCTCAGTGGCAGAGCCTTGAATGTCTTTCCTTGACTTTAGAAGAAGTCGTCCACATCCGTAACGTTTTGACGAAAGCTGAGCTTGAAAGTCTAATTGTAGATCCTACACTCTACGACGACATATGCAAGGGAAAGGTAATCACTGCTCTTTTGCTTTTGAAACCTGCTTATTTATTCTTCTTTAATTAAAAAATTATAATTATAAAATTCGTCAACAGATTAAATTAATAACTGAAAAAAAAACTGTAAAAGGATGTTTTCAAACTCATCATCATTATAGCTGGCCAGACAGCCCAATGTGGGCCCATGCCTTCCTCTAAACATTTCTCCATAACGATTTCCTATTTATCTTTGATCTCCAATTCTTTTCATGAATTGTAAGAAAATCAGACTCCACCAAATTAACCCATCTCCCCACTTTCTTGTTCCATTGGGTCTAAAAAGAAATATCTTTTTTATTGAATTGTCATCACTCATTCGATTCACGTGGGCCATACAATTCATTCTGTTTATTTTTATATATTTAATAATATCGGGCTGTTAATGTTTAATAATATTGGGCAAAGTTAAATCTCCTTCTCCAGTTATTGTTTTCAAGTTACACCACCAGGTATACTCCTCAAAATCCTTCTCTCAAATATTGGGATGTAATTTTCCTCCAGTTTTGTCATTGTCCAAGCTTCAGAAGCATATGTTAAGACTGTCCTGACAAGAGTTTTTGTAAATTAAGAACAAATATTCTCGATCCCTAGGCAGTCCTATTTGCCAAATAGAGTCTGTTTTTTATTTCAGAAGAAATCCTGTTATCAATTGTTTTGAAACTGACCACCATTTTAAAGCAACAACTTCCAGCAGTCTAAGAGCAACGTTAACAGATGCCTATGCAGTCCGTTATAACGACAATCTATAATTTTTGATTAAATTATGGAAAGATGAAATTGTGCGTTATTATAAGCAAATAAACATATTTCATGTTAAAATAACAATAAAAAGCCTAAAAAATGTTTAGACATCAGGGGCTTCGCAAACTTATATTTTGGGAAGAACAAAATTCACATTTTGCTAAATGAAATTCCTATTTTGACCAAATTATAGATAAACAATCATTTTTATTCTTTGATAAAGTTGATTTAAACTGTTCATGATCATCATAAATACTTCATTAATCTAAACATAAACTTATTAGTAATACAATTGATAATTTTTTTTTCAACTTTGTGTAACATTCACCCATATTACTGACCAAACTGTAATAAACCATTCACTGTTATACTTTAAAAATTTTTCTTTTTCGTATAAGAATTGTGCGAGTTTTTTGTTTTTGTTTTTTGAAGATGAGCTAATTGATGTCTTGTCCCTCAATTTCTGCTGAAACTGGCTCGTTTGTATATCTAAATATGAGCTCCATGACAAGTGATTGAAAGAATAGGCTCTTCAATGACGAGGAGGGTATTTGATTAATTGAGGAAGATATATAAAATTTTATGGTGGTTAGTATAATCAAGAAAAGGCAGCAACAAAATAGCTTTGCTTACAGTTTCTTCTCTTTTCCAAAGTACAAACAGCCTTTTTATAATTTTAATTTGTCTTTCTTTTAATAACTGTAATTTTAATAAACCTACCTTTTTTTATTTCTCATTAAATTTTCTCCTAAAAAAAACTTCAACCAAATTTAAGGAGAAAAGTGCTTTGTGTACACTGAAGGAGAGGAAAAATTCCAAACATATTTTATGAATAAATAACTTAATGTTTGCATTCTAAAGTGAATTGTATTTTAAAAAAATTATAACGCTTTGCGATTTATGATCATTTTTAAATAAAATTAAGTTTGTTAAATCTTGTATACCTATAAAACATTGTACTACAAAAGATTTTATTATGTTCTAAACACATTACTAATATTTTGAGGGGACAAAAAGATATTGGCGATCGCAACGCTCGAATATGCCATCTGGGGAGAGACCGGTTTCATGCCTTTGACCTTTCTCCCTTCGCTCTCCTCCAGTGCCGGATCACCCATTAGGCCATGCCCTGGGGCCCCCAATGATTACGGGCCCTCTTAAAATGGAGTTTTTGAAAATAAATTTTAAAAAATTAAGAAAAACAATGATTTGAAAAAAAAAATTTCAAAATATATATTAATAAAATACAATATTTTTTTGCATGATGTTAATCATATTGCTTTCTTAAATGAAAAGATATATAAATACTTTTATATTTGAATAAATAAAAAATATACACGAAAAAAATTAATATAAGGGCCCCAAAAATTTGAATGGCCCAGAGCCCCGCATACGCTTAATCCGTCCCTGCTCTCCTCCTCTTTTCAGTTGTTTAGGAATGTACTACGATATTTTCCCCTTTTTTAATATTTTTAATTTTTATTTAATAAAAATATTTTTTAAAATTTCCGTGATGCTCTTCTTTAGAACTATGTTTAATGTAGTTTTCAGTTCCATCAAGTTTTCCAACTTATAAGATTTTAATCTATAGGAAAATCAAGAGAGAAACTTCCTTCCTCTATGACTCTCCACATGCTAATTGGGAAAGCATGTGAAGTGTTGCCATAGGTAGAGAGTTCTGCTCTACGCCACCTGCAGCCCATTTCGATCGCCAATTGTGTAATTTAACTTGAAAGAGATATGCTTAATAGATAAATTTTAAAATATCATCTAATTAAGTAAGAATCATCTTGTAATGGAGTAAAGGAAACTTTATATATGAACGTTAATTGTATCACTAACAAAAATAGGAACATTTATTCATTTTACAATTTCTACAAAGAACTCTGCTGCCTGGCCATTAAACCACTTAGTAACAGTTTCTTTCAACATGTCATCATTTCCCAAAGTGCTTTTCACCTAGAAATTCCTCAAGTTCTGGAAACAGATGAAAGTCTGGTGCTGTATGGTGGATGATCCAGTTAAACAATTTTTTAAGATATAATGAAACATAAAAAGTATGCGTTTAAAAATTTTTTAAAAAAATATTCAATTTGAAATAAAATAACATTAAAAACTTCTTAAAATTCTGGACAAGATATTACAGATTAAGCCTACAATGCAGATTTTCAGATCATCAAATATATAAAACATTAAAAATTCAAATAATTGAATGAATAGGTGATAATTTTTATAGTTTTTGATAGTAAAATAATTTTTAAACAATACAGGAAAATAATTAATACCTTTTACAGTAAATGGACACCACTTTCTGCTATAGCTATCCTAATGTGAAGTAAGCAACATTTTCATCCATTTAATATGCTTAGTTCATGAATGAATTTAACTCTCAAATGAAAGGTAAAAGGATGCGAATTGAAAAAACATTACATATATGATATTCATTGTTGTTTACAAATAATTTTTATACAATGCAAATTTTGACTCCTTGGTTTTTTCTGCAAAAATTAATTATTTTGGTCTTCTAAAAATTTTTTCTTGTATATTATTGCTAAACTAGCTTCTTATGAAATTAATTAACTAACAGGAATAAATTGGTAACTTCTTATGAAATTGCGTTATCACTCGATGACGTAATGTGCGCAAATGCCTTTGATTTTCTTTGCGTTCACGATGCCGATCAATATTATAATAATAGTGTCTAACAATATTCCTGTGCTACTCATTTTATCGAGCTTTTACTGTATATAATTTATAATGGCCTGACATACTAAAAAATTATTATTTTTTAATATTTCCAGTTAGCATGTTTTCTAGCAACAAAGTTAGTTACTGATTTTGAAATTTGGTGAAAATAAATTCCAGGTTTCTTGTGCCAAAGGCTAACAACTGTATAGTTTGTCTACTGTAAGAACTCTCCCCGCCAAGAAGTATGAGGCCGTCTGCTGTTATGGAAACAAGAATAGTGCATTTCAGGGAGGGTAGCTTCTCTTCACTCTAGGGCTAACACGAAGAAAAGTATTCCCTTTCTTTCGTCGACCCGAACCAAAACCTGTCCTAAACAATGACCCCACTACCCTTACATGAAATAGTTATACTTCGTTGCCATAGTCACCGCCACAGGGTCAGACGAATGGCTAGGGGAGTTCTCACTTTAGACAAACTATACTATCTCTTCCTGTTTACCCTTAATTGATTTTTTTTGTCTGATCTTTACTGTTAATGTAGAAGTTTGTGACTAGTATTTAAAAGATAACATTTCAACTGTTTGTTCTAGGTCTGTTTCACTTGCAAACAAGTTAGGTTTTCCTTCTTTGGTCCATGGAAAATAAAGTGTAAAATGTGTGAAAGAACAGTATGTGATAAATGCAGCAGTAAGGTAAGCGTTTATTTTATTATCCTTACCTTTAACAGTTTTTTTTGTCACAAGGAAACTCTTTTCACTTCTTAGGAATTATTTTGGTAGGTTTTTATGAAACTCTTTGTTGTTGATTTGAAAGTCAACAATACATTTCACTATTCAAGTAGAATTTTATGAAGTTCTTTGTTGTTGAACTGAAAATTATTTAAGGATGTTTTTAAAGCTCTTACACCATGGAAAATGAAAAAGAAAGGGGAGTTTAAGAGCTTTCGCACAAAGCAAAGAAATCTAAAAAATTCTTACAAAATACCACTTAGATAAGAAATACTAAAATCAATAAATAATTCTCAATTTTTGAAAATTGACGAATTTTCCACCAAGCGCCACCTGTGCTTAGCTTTACATGGTTAACCATCCATAATCTATTCTTTTGTAGGGTACTTTTATGTATACTAAGAAGCCCACGCCATAGTCATTGCAAGAGACTAATTTTTGAGAATTCAGAATACTTTATCAGAAAAAAAAAATTCACACATGAGGAACACGAAAATTCACACAAAAATTTTCTGAAATCTGCTAAATATTTGTAAAAAGCTTAATTCTCTTGTTTTTAATTTTAATGATTATTTGAAATTCTCAAAAATTTTGAGGGGGGACTTATAGAGATTTCTATTTACTGTGGTGGACATATACCCTCTTTCAACCCACCAGCTAACAATGCTCATAGCTAATCCTATGTTTTCTGCTTTTACCAACCCCTAGAACAAAATCACCTCATGATTTTTAAGAGTTACAGAAAGAACCCTACACTGTGGAAAGGAAGGAAGAAATAAGAATATAAAGAAAAGAAAAATTTGCATTTTTTGCCCAAATCAATCTAGTACTGCGGTTCTTAATTTTTTTTTTTTCGACCATGAAACTAAAAATGGAAACTCTTAAGTTTGCTTGAAGCTGTGTATATTCTATCCAAATGGAAGACTGTTGATAATTTTGAAAATATTTAATACGAGCAATGAATCATCATTTTTATCAATAATTGTCCTGAAATTAAAAAGACAGTTAATGTCACAGGTCTGAAGTGGCATCTGAATTTGTTCTTGGTTTATACATATGCTGAAAATAAGGTAGCGTTTGATAAATAAACTGGATTATGGTTTTAAAAAACTATGAAATAAGCTGGTTTTGGTTTTCAAAAGTGAACTTTTATAAACGCTGAAAATGATTGTCAGATAAACAAAATTGTTTATTTTTCATTTCGATTATTTTATTTGAAATAATTATTTCAATGAGAAATATTGATAGAATATTTTATCTTATACTCTATATTCTTTTAATAATTTGTTCGATATATTGTTTTAAAAAATTATTTTTTCAAATTTTGGCAATTTGCCTTCCTTGGCATTTTACTTAAATAATTTTGTATAAAAAAATAATAATAATCAATTTCTAACTTTTTGTTTGAATATAAAAATAATTACCAATTTAAAAAATCATGACTGTTTAAAAAAATGTACTTACATCTGGAACCCCTTGATGTTACCAATGGTCCTGCAATGGACTGATCTTAAAGACACTGTTCCAAGTAGAACACCGAAGTCTAGCATCGCTGGCTATGAACTGTTCGACTGTAAAGTGCTGGACTACGTGCACAGATAATCGGGCTACCAAAGCAAAGGAGCCATCCTCTCTGCAGAAGATAAAAATTGCGGTGGTATGTCTTCGGATCATCCTTAAGTATGTTTCTCAGACCGTCGCCAATAGCCCATTGTACAGCTTTAGAGTGACATAAATAAAGTACCTCTGTACCTTACTGATCCTATCACTGAACAGTAAGGTTTGAAAAACACCTTTTGAGAAACTCTGGTCTATTTATTAGTCATGCACAAATATTTGTGTACTTGGAACATGATGAGCTCGCTTAATAACGTCCATTTTTGTTTGAATAACAAGGGTCATTATATGAATTGCATAAATGAAGCTTCTTATGTGTAATGTTATTCTAATTTTCTAGATGCGTATCCCAACTGAACATTTTGCCAGGATACCAGTTTACATGCTGAGTCCAACCCCAAGTCCACCCCCTGAGGAGGAAGCTAGTCATAGTTTTTGGAAGTTTTCTGAGATGTTTGGAAAGTAAGATGAAATTCCAATTTTACTGACCCTTTCAAAATAAGTTGTAGTGTATCTACCGCTACAAAAATACAATTCCATTTCCCTAGTATATAAGACATGTTAACTGAATTCTACGAAGGGGTAAGTTTTCATAGATGAAGGTTAACATTGTCTCCTCACCCCACAAAGTGTCTTCTTGATTTTATTTGGCTGTCTTAAGAGGACGCCAGAAACCTTTCATTGCAAATTCTTCTTCACCTTCACAACTAATTTAAAATTGAAACTAAAGAAAAAGGGAGTGCGGATAAACCTAGAGCAAGGCATGAAGTTTCAAATAATGAAAAGAAATGTTTCAAGTATCAAAATGAAAATAAATTATATGATGATAAGTTAGGATTGCATAATGGAAAAGTTCTCTTTCAATAATTTGTTTGCATTTTGATATTTTGAATTTTTTTTTAAGCAACTGAAACTTCATTGCTTACTCTAGGTTTGTCTGAACTCACTTTTTCTTTTTTAAAAAAAAATTTATCATGAAGGTGAAAGAGAATTAGCGACGAAAAGTTTCACCCGTGGTATGGTGTCCTCTTGAGAGCACACTGTATCATGGGAGAAAATTTTTATGGAAAATTTTATTTCATCTCTGTTGATATTTTACAGAAAAGTGATTTCATGTAAGCCTAGAGTAAATATTTTTAAAATAACTAAATGTGATATTTCACTCACTATGCAATAAGTTACACACATTTTTTCAGCATTTGATACTTCATTGTTTGCTCTAGATCAGGTATGGGCAAACTGCGGCCCGCAAGAAGGTTTTATCTGGCACGCGGATAGAATTTAAACTTGCCGATCCATGGCGAATATAAACAATATACATCCATTTTCTTGTCTAATTTGTTTAAAGCTATTTTTGTTCTTTCTTTTTTAACTACAAAGTACTGATGACCTTTTTACTTTCTCTATTTTTGTTCTTCAAAACATAAAGCTTCAATTGGTAAACAAAAACAGTCAGCTTCAATTGGTAAAATGTTGAAAGCAAAAGTTCTAAATAGACTAGCCTTAAATTGGCACCCTCTGAAGCAGTAGTTTCCATGTAAATAGTTGAGTTTTACAAATCATTACCAAAAGCTAGTTTACCAAATTTAATATCTCATGCCCAAAAAATCAGTGCTATGTTTGCTTCATCTTACATATGTGAACAAGTGTTTTCAACTATGAAGCTTAGAAAAAATCATTTCAGAAGTAGACTAACAGACAAACATTTAACCTCGTTCCTTAAAATAAGTACATCTCACTTGGAACCTCAATATAATAGGAGTTTCTAAAAATGAAATTGTAATTTCATTCATCTCATTAAATATTTAAATTAAAACTTGTATATCGTTTTTTATTTTATTTTAGAAGTTTTTACTTAGCCCACCAAACTTTTTTTTCTTCGCATTTTTGCCCGAGATCAAAAAGGTTTGCCCATCAATACTCTAGGTGTACAGTTGAACTCACTTTAATCTATACTTTCAGGTAATTATGAAGAGAATTTGCCATGAAGGGTTTCTCCCAGAAGTATAGCATACTCATAAAATGATAATTATTATTGTAGCATTTTATAAATTAGAAAGTTCTTGCCCCATTTAAAATCAAACAAAATGCAACTCATTTTCATACAAAATAGTGTTTATATTTAAATAATGTGTTATTCTTTACAACATTGGTAATAATATATCAGTTCAGATTTTCTTTCACATTTTTCTCTTTTTATTTTACTATACTTCCATTTATTCACTGTAGTCTTAATCTATGTAATGTAAAAATTGTTAGTTTATATAACTTAAGAAATATAAATTACCTTTTATATGCTTTCATTTATATATATATATACTGTGAAACCTCAGTTAAGAGGACATTCTTGGGACCAAAAAAAATTGTCCGTTTACAGGAAGCATACCGTAATAACGAGGTTTAACACCGTAAATTGTTTTTAGAATATTTTTAAAGATACAGAAATGATTAAATAATCTACAAGAATATATATTTAATATAACTTTAGAAAATATTTTTCGATAAAAAAGAATATATTAAAAAGCTTGATATAAGTACATAATTCTAGATGTAGCTACAGATAAATGAATATAATTTTCCCATTAGCTCAAATATTCAAGTTTAGACATATGATACCAAATAGGGGTTTTTAGTCCTCAGTCGGTTTCAATTATTAGATTTACATCTCCTATCACTTGATAGGAAACGAGGTTAATACCTCTTTGAAAGTAAACCTCCCAAGATTCACAGAAAAAAAGGCAATGCATACCTGTAAGTCATGAGGACCTATGGGGTTGATTATTCATAATTGATCATCTATCAAGTGTCTGAATAAATGTTTCATTTATATGAACACCTCAAAGATTATACTTCTGTTCTCGTTTATTTATTTATTTTTTTTTTTTACACCAGCTGTGTTAAATACAGTCTTCAAATTGATAAGAAAATTAAATAAATTTTCAGTGGGGAAGAAGCATTGANGACGTCGTCATTGCAGCTTGTGAGGTCTCATAAGCTGTGTCGTCCAGATGAAAAGATAAAAAGATGCTGCTGTCCGAATTATTTAACATGAGCAGTATCATTATCTCTCCTTTCTTTGCAAAGATAAGTCAGTGTGACAGGAGAAAGATTGATTCTTTAGTAGTGAAATAGCTTAACAATATTTTTAGTTATGGTTAAGGCAAAAAATTTACATGCTTTAAAAATGGTGAAAAGTTGAAATATATATATTTTTTTTTTTGCAATTTAAAGCAGAAATAGTTTTTTTTTTCAAATTTAGAAAAAGTAGTGTCTGGTTTGAAGAGATAGAAAATAATGTTTCAGATCAAAAATTACTGTCCGCTTCCGGTTACAGGAGTGTCCGATTTTCAGAAAATGTACATAATGAAATAATAATTCATAGAAGATTCCCGGGGAATTAAAAGCATGTCTCTATTGAGAGGTGTCTATTTTGCAGGAGTGTCCATAACAGGAGGTTTCCCTGTATATATATGCTTTTTGTGAGTTTTAATTTTTAAAAGTATTTCATATTAGGTGTGAATATTTTTACTTATATGTCTACCTGTAAGGTAAGAATTAAGTACATTTGTGCACTTAATGTGTAAATGATAGGTGCAATTTTTTTTCAATATTTTGCGAATTTCAAAACCATCGATTTCTTGCAATAAAAAGTTATATTTTGTCCGCATTTTCAAAAAGTCCTCTAACTTAAAAAATATATTTCCAAACTTCCCCTTTTACCAGCAACTCTACCTTTTTTTTTTACAGAACATTGTAGTGATTTTTTCCCTGATTTGTATAAGCGGTACACTAACTTATCTAATATTATAGTGACCTCTAAATTTTATACAGGTTACTCTTGTGTATAATTTAATAGTTATACATTAACAATATATTTAAATGATACATAGATTATTTTTATTTATCAGAAATAATCTATGTATCTTTTCATTCAATTTATCAGAAATAATAATCTATGGTTGCAATTTTGTGTCCAGATTTGTATAAGCATAACGCAACTTTTCTAATATTACCGTTACCACTAAATTTTCAAATTACTCTAAAATGTTATAAAGGCTACTTTTGTGTTAATTTAATAATTATACATTAACAATATATTTAAACGATATATAGATTATTTCTATTAGAAACAATCTATGTATCGTTTCATTCAATTTAACAGAAATAGTAATCTATGGTAGTGATTTTTTTCGTCCAGAACGAAACGTATCTAATATTGCAGTGATCTCTAAATTTTATAAAGGTTACTTTTGTGTATAATTTAATAATTTTCATTCAATTAATCAGAAATAATCTCCTATGTACAAATAATTATGGTATTAAAATACTAAACATTGAGAAAAAAATGTTTTTATATCTGCAAAATTGAAAGTGGCTAACCATAAAGTTTCTAAAGAATTAACTATACCTTTTTCTAACCATCACATGTGTGGGATAACTAGTTATTTTCAGTTTAGTTAATTTTTTTTCGTACCTTGGGATTACCCCGTCGACCTGTATTTTAGGATTATCACGTCGACCTGTACTTTGGGGTTATCCCGTCAACTTCTCCTTTGGAATAACTTATCGACCTATATTTTGGGATTATCCCGTCGGCCTGAATTCTGGGATTATCCCATTGACCGGGCAATGTTCGCGAAAACGCCCAAATCCTTTGGCACCATCATAATGAAAAGCAATTTCCAAAATAAACATTCTAAACACATTAAATTTATCAAATAATAATAATAATAAAATAATAACAAAAATGTGAGTGTAAAAATATGTAATAAAAAAGTTTAATAAAAAGAATCAAAATGAAGTAAAAACCTCTAATTTTTTTTTTTAACTACACATTGAATTATTCTCGAATCTAACCATATATATTATTATAAATCATTTCCACGACCAAAAATCCTTGATAGCTTTTAAAGCGCAACGAAACAAGTCATTATGCTTGTGCACATAAATTCGTTTAAATACGCTTAAGAAAACTAACATGCATAGTCAAGGATTTTTATAATTACACATTGAATTATTATTGAATCTAACCATATATATTATTATAAATCATTTCCACAACCAAAAATCCTTGATAGCTTTTAAAGCGCAACGAAACAAGTCATTATGCTTGTGCAAATAAATTCGTTTAAATACGCTTAAGAAAACTAACATGCATAGTCAAGGATTACACAGTAAATGTGATAAAATTTGTGGTTATTGGCACCGTTTGGGGATAATATTAGGTTTGGCGAAAATGGTTGACGGGATAATCCCAAAGTATCTTTTTTTTTCTTCTGAAATTTGATTTATATTTTTAAAAACAATCATAAAACTGAAGTGCAGTTACTTATGAAACTCCTATTCTTTTTCAAGATTAGTCATTTCATTTGGCTTTGTTCATGAAGTATTTTTGTATCAATATTATTATAGATCTGAAGCCAAAGAAAATCTTGAAACTGTAACACCTAAGCTGCCGAGGCAAAAGACGACAGTCGACAGTGAATGCCCCAAGAGAAAGCTGACATTTCGACATTCGGAATCAGTGGATATGATTGCTGACAAAATGGGGAAGGGTCCTTTGCCCACCTCCCGCAGGAAACGAACTAATCTACAAAGATCAAAAACTCTCGCCCCTCCCGAAGCATCGAATAAAAAGAAAAGTTCCGCTGCGGAAGACGATAAATTGAAAGGACCTCTTGTGCCAGTTTGTAAAGACTGTAAAGTAATGGTGTGCAATATTATAATGGCCAGCCAGGACACTGTAAGTTTCGATCAAAGGAAGAAAAAACGAAACTCGAGAACGTGGCCCCAGAAACGAAACTCTACCACTTTACAGTTATTTATGGATCCTGTTGTTGAAAGTGGGCCAACCACTCCTGATGACGTATTTTCTCCTGATTCTAGGAAACTCTACACACCGTGAAAATATTTATAATTTTTCATATTTTTTTCCTTGTATATAGTTCTGAGAGTGAAGGCAGCTTGTAAAGCGTTCATTTCTACCCTTAAAGCGTTTTTCTTCATCAAAGTTTTTACTGAATGTTATGTTTTCTGAATCACGTAAACCTATGTATGTGCAACCTATGTTTTTTTTTTTTTACATTCCAATTTTTAATAGCTGACAATAGTTGAATTTGGTGATAATTAATTAACAATATTTAACAAATATTCATTCAGGGTGCGTAGCCAGATTTTTCAGGAAAAAATAAACACCCTTTAAGTACTTTTCAAGCACTAAAAAAATATTTTTAATCACTTTCCAAAAAAAAAAAATCATAATTAGGATTTGTGCAATAATAAAAATTACTTTTTCTATCATTTAAAGTTCTTAATTTATAAGCTTAAAATTTTATAAAATTCCAAAACATTTTCAAAAACTTTACATGATCATGATAAAATAACTAGTTACTGATAAATATTGCAGTGAAAATCGTGAATTTTTTGTAATTTAGAGCGACAATCGACACGGCAAAGAAATTTTTTTTTTTAAAAAAAGATAGAAAATTAAGCACTTTTTGCAAACCTTTGAAATAAAAAAAGTACCTTTAAGTGTTTTAAAAAACATAAATCAAAAATAAGCACTTTTTAAGAACCCTACGCACCCTGTCATTAAGGGCTAGTTCAAACATTGTGCAAGCCGGTTTCTAGCAATTTCTGAAACCTCCCCCTCTACCTTGTCAGTGAAGATAAACAATTTAGAAAGCCCCTCTCAAGAAAGTGGCAATCCCCCTTTTTTAAGGAGAAATTATTCAAACTATTATATAATATATTGGTATAACTGCAGGCAATAGAGAAAAACATAAATAGAACTGCACATCAAAGGGTCCCTCAAAAATATTAACCAATATTTAAGCTGTTATTTTTTTAAAGTGGACAGTAATTTATTTCTTTTACAATTTATAATAATCATTATTATGTTTTAAAGTTTAATCAAATATTAATGTTAAATTCAAACACCCAAATTTACTAAATTTTGCTAATATTTTTGAAAAATGCACTCATTTCATTTCCAAATATAACTTGAACGTTTGAAAACCTTTTCATATCAATTATCTATCATCTAAAGCAACTCTTGACAGCTATTAAAAAATTATGTGTATACCTAGCTTTTTTTTTTGTTGCTATACTCATGTTCCCTGTGGCAAAATCATGGCGACATTGTCGAAAACATTACAGAGTTATCTGCAGAAAGATTTTTTGCTTGGAATCAAAGAAGTTTAGGATTTCGAAATTTATTTTTTCTGGAGAACTTTTTTCTCCCGTTTTGCAGAATTATAGTCAAAAAATGCCTTTTTCGCATTTCGGAGGTGGAATAAACTCGTGATTTTTTTCCTACTTTCTTTTCAGAATAATAATAATAAAAAAAAATCTGCAATGACTGGCTTTAGTTAAAATTTCAGATTGATATTATAAAAAGTAACTTCCAAATAGCAAAAATTAAAAAAGGTTAACTACACAAATATTTTGTAGAACAGGAGAATATTGCCAATAATATTAGAAATATGCATTCTTTTATTATTATATTTTAAAAAATTCTTACATTTATAATTAAAAAAAATTATATGCTCTTCTATTCTATACATGAAGGCTCTTTTTTTTTGTAAACAGAAAGCACTTCTGTTTCTTTAAATTAGTAGCATATATATTTGCTACTATTAAAAATGTCTTTTTCAGAAAGGTGTTAGAACTAGAGAGAATTGTTGCAGAAAGCTTGAAAAAACTCTGCCACCGAGCTAATGTTTACCCTTGACTTGTCTTCTTGAACAAGTCAAAATGGTGAAGTGGCAGCTAAAAGAATACATTCCATTGAATTTCTAATTTTCTTTGCTGCATTATCAAATTTAAGAAATGAATAATTGTGTATATGTTTGTGAGATGCTGTTGAAAGACAAATGTTGTTGTATGTTAAATCACTATTGATTTTGTCTATAGAACATTGTTTATGCTGCTTGATTATGATTACATTTCAAAGCAAAAGAGTTTTTATCATTATTTAAAATGATTTTTTAAATTGTTTGCTTAGTAACTTGCATTACATCAAATGAAATTAAGTTTTTAGTCTTAATCAATTGCTTGAAATTATATACTAATAAATTCTGACTTTTCATGAACAGTTCTATAGCCAATAAGAGATGTCAAATCGTTAATTGTATTTTGTGCACGTTCTAGAAGTCTTTTAGCAATATCTGTGATATCTTTTAAATTTTATGCTGATAAACTGTTATTTCGCTTCATCTAAAGATATTTTTAGCCTTTATATTATCTAAAATATCTTTAAAAATTGTTTATTAATGAATTTTATATAATGTATCACAATTTTTCCTAACAAAAGTTTTATACAAAGTTTAGTATTTAACTAGCATGAATTATTACATTCTAAATATTTCTTTAGAAATTACATTTAAAAATAATAATCCATACTATATATATATATATGTGTGTGTGTGTGCATTCAGGGAGGCCTAGAAGGGCCAAGCACTCCCTCCAAATTTCAAAATTTTCATTGTCAACCGAAGAAAAAATTTAAACTACTTAAATAAATCAAAATTAAAATTTATTTTTTAATCAAAAGAAATTCTTATAAAGCTTTTTTTTTTCTTCTACTTTTATCTACAGCTTCCTTAAAAAATAAATTATAACTTATCATTTTTTTTAGCATTAGAAATTAGAAGCTATTCCTTTAAATCTTTATTTTTTTAAAACTTTTATCTAAAAAATAAATAATCCCTCCTTGAAGAATAATTATAATATGGATCGGTCTGCAAAGGGTTCGAGGGAGTGTGGTATTCGTCTTCGTTAAACTGTTCTGCCTTTGTTGTTTTGAAGTTAGGATGTAAATATAAAACTCCTGCCTGAGATGTTAGTTGTTGCAATTAATAACTCGATTGGAAGATTTTCCTTTGAAAAATATATTTAACTCTTTTTCTTTCTCTTGTTGCTTGGTAAGAGTTTTACTTGAAAATTTAAAAAAAAAAATCAGATATTATACTCTTATCCTTTATAATAAAACTTAATATTTTCAATAACATTCTTAACAGTTTGATTCATTTGTTTTTCATATTGTTGTTTCATAAGTACTTATTATTTACATAAGTTACTTGCCTGAGATGCCAGTTGCTGCATTTTTAGCAAAATTTTTGTAATATAATTGTATTTTAAGTTTATTAACTGTTTTTATTCTGCATTTCATAACAAACTAAAGTGTTTTAGTAAAATTGTATTGTTAAAACGATCTTTTTTTTTCTCACACTGAAATAATAATTAGTTGCAAAAAAAAGCAACTTTTTAAATATCGATGCAAATAATTTACTAAAAATAATCCCGAAAGCAACACTTTAGGAAATAATTGTGGCTTCTGAACACGTGAGCAGCAAAATATCACAAAAGAAAAACAAAATCAACGAGTTGTTCTTTAAAAAAATTGGCATAAAGTATTTTTATGATATTTTTAATTAATTTTTTAATATTTTAAAGTAGTAATTATTTGCAAGGAAAAATGCAGTGAAGAAATAGGTTTGATTTAAAATAAACATAGTGTATGCTATTAACTATTACAAATTTAAAACATTGTGTGTATGTTTTTTTTTAATTATTTTTTTTTTTACAATTCAAGCACATGCTTTCATTGTACAACTAATAATGTTCTATAAACATATAAAAAGTAATTTTCTAATTTATAGTGATTTTATAGAAATCACAATGTCAATTACAAATAAATTATAATAACTTACGAGGGCTGTTTTTTAAGTAAGGGTCGTTTGAAAATAAAAATCAGACAAAAGAAAATTCTAATGAAGCAAATTTATTTTTTGATTCTACATACGTTTTTTTTTCTTCTTCAAAATACTTATCAAGTTTGCTTAAACACTTATCATGCCTTACAACTAGATTTAGAATACTCTCTTCATAGTAACTTGCCGCTGTCAGCTATTAGTGAGACCCTTACTTAAACACCCCTCATATTAACTAAAATAGTTAATCATTACTAAATCATGACTATACTAAAAACTCAATGTAACAAATATGGCATATTACAGCAAGTGAGCATCAAAACTCTAATATGACAGGTACAGAAATCTTTTGTGGCGAAATACATTTTTCTGCTGTTTTGCAGAATGCAAAATTATATGAAGAAAGGGTGCATCAATACAGTAAAGTAAAAATGAACTTAATTTCTTTTACCAACATGTTTATAAACCAAATATATGAGGGAAAGTTAGTTCTGGTCTAGTTCAAGTCCTTACAAGAAATTTTTGTTATTTTCAGGAAATACTTTTAATAACCTGCTGCCCGCGAGCCATAAGTGGCACGCCAACCTTCGATGTGCAAGCAATCTAAACAAAACAAGAAAAAAAAAATTTCAAATTAAAAAAATATTCGAAATTAAATAGTTGTTGACGCACTCAATCAATGTAGTTTTTTAATAGCTTTTTTCATTATTTTTAACCCTATAAACTTTCTTTAAATCAAAGTTTTAGTCTTGCATTTATTTTAATAACTAGAATATTTATTTATTTTTAAATTCAATTCTATGAACAAATTTTTTAATGTTAAAATTTATGTTTAAATGAACTTATGTATTATATAATATGATTAAAAAAAATATTTCCCCATAGTTTAATTATTTCAATTTATCAAATTTTTTTTCTAATAAATTGATTCTGATTTTCTTTTTTTTCCTAAGTAATCAATTATGCAGTTTCTAATTTTAAACATTTAAAAGTATTTAATGTTATGCAAAGATATTACAAGGTTAACTGAAAATTAGTATTTAGTGCCTAGAACAATGATGTTTATATAACAATTGCTGCCAACATGTCTGTTTAAATACTTTGTCATGTGGCCCTTCATTGGTCAATCTGCTGTGCATGTGGCCCTTTACTCAAAAAGTTTGTGCACTCCTACATTAAATGGATATACCTTTGGTTGGCCCCTTTTTGACAACTAACCATTGAAATCAATATTCAGTGCTATAAAAAACTTGAATGCTATAGAATAGTCTTTTTTATTGCTATTTTAACATTCAATATGTGTAGTTTCTTATTGCGGTAAGCTCGCTACAATGACGATTCCAACTGTTAGTGTCATTAAACCAATTTTAGAATATATTGTTTAAAATTTTAGCTAAAAAAGACTAATTGTTAAATATTTTGTTATGAATTTTTGGGGATAAGTAATCTATAAAATGTTGAACTTTTATTCTGTAAAATTTTCAGTTTATACATTTTTTTAATTAGTTTTTATCAAGATTAATTTTATCTCTCTTTTTTTTTTTTATATATTTGGTTATACAAGGAATTTTTATTAACTATCATTTAATTGTTTTATCTCCTATCTGGGAATAAAAAAGTTTATACCTTGAAGTATATTTTACTTCATAAAATATGTTATAATAATAATTTTTACGGACATTTACATAATATTTTAGTCATCTTATTGTTAGATCATAGTGTAAAATATTCAAAGGTACACCGTGAATCTGTTTAAAAATAGTATGACTTGTTATTAAAAAATTATAATTTAATTTTCGAAAATTAAAAATTTTTCACAAGTTTATTTTTGATGATGAATAAGATCTTAGACTATGATGTTATTTGCAGCATTTTTTTGAATTTTTGGGCTCAACTGATCTTTTTAGGTATTGGCAGGGTATCTGCGCACCTGGAAAGTCATGAATTTTGGTATTGAACTAAATTTGTCATAAAATGTCATATTTTTTAAAACAAAAATCATGGAAAGTCATGGATTTAGATCGCCGAAAAATTTAATTTTTAAAATGGAATTTATCCCCCCCCCCCATTTCATGGCGTCCCGAATATCTGATTTTGAATATCCGAATATCTGATTGAAAATCTTCACTCTCAGTCATATTTTATTAAAATATAAAATGTTTTTATCATGTTCTTTAAAAATTAGTGTTCTTTCAAAATATGAAAGAAAAAACATCATTTCTAGAGCGAATTAATTATCTTTTAAATTTCTGTAATTTCAGAATTTTTCTAATTATTTATTATTTTTTTAATTCCAAAATGAGAACAGAAAAAAATCAAGAATTTTATACAAGAAAAGTATCTTTAGAATATAATTCTTTAGGGAAAAAAAAAATAATTATTTGCTTTCGTATTTTTTTCAGCTATTTTATTGCTTCAACTCTGTATTTTAATTGCACTTTACTTTGTATTTTAAATTTAAAATCTATAAATATGAAGATGCAGAGTATAACAGTTTTGGTTATACCTATCATTATTAATCTTATTATAATGCTTTTTTAAATTTATTGTTTTTGTCGGGAGAAAATAGTAACTTCGTTAAGTCATGAAAAACTCTTGGAATTAGTCATGAATTTGAAAATTTAAAATGTAGCAGATACCCTTTATTGGGTATTTTTTAAATTGAAGAAGTGTCAGTAAGTGAGTCGATTTTCTTCAAATACACACAAATGTTTGCAAATCTCCTCCGAGAATAAAAAGTTATTTTGAGGCAAAAGTCATTCCTTCATGTTGGAAAGTACCCAAAAGCATTTAATAATAATAAAAAAATCTGATTTCTTGTGATTTCACAAAATTAAAATTTGCGGAAGCTATTTTGGCCAATTCATTTAGATCTTACAGATAGTTTCCTATCAGCCAACCAACCAGTGTTCTCCGAGGTAAATTTTTGTAAAACATTTTAGTAAGTTTTCCAGATCTGAAGAAATAATTGTTGGTGAAAAAGTATTGTTTTAAAAAAACATTTCATAATAATGAAAGTAAATGTTAAAATGTGATTTTAAAACGATGGAATGAATGCATTTTCCTCCCTAATATAATAGTTCGTTCAAGAACTGTGACGTTTATGTTTACTAGTAGAGCAGGAAATTAATTATCCCTTGTTATGTATATAGTTTTCATTGCTACTAGTACCTAGATACTATATCCATGTATATAATTGTACATTTCATGGTATTGAATGTGTGACCTACTTAATTGTACATATAATATTATTGTGTACATTACTGTAATAAAATTACTAATCTTTCACTATTGTTGGTTTCTAATTTCATTTGCATAATCTAGGATAAGCACAGTTTTTTTGCCGTAATGATTATTGAAAGAAAGCACTTCCTCCGGCTTCTCAACTTAAAGATCAACAACACAGGGTGCATAGCCAGATTTTTCAACAAAAATAAGCACCTTTTAAGTACTTTTTTAAGCACCCAAAAAATATTTTTAATCACTTTCCCAAAAAAATCATAATTTAGGATCTGTGCAGTAATATATATATATATATTTTTTTTTATTGTTTAAAGTTCTTAATTTATGAACATAAAATCAAACGACATTTTCACAAACTTCTCATAATCCTGATAAAGTAAATAAGTTACTGATAAATACTGCAGAGAAAATTATGAAAATCATGCATTTTTTGTAATTTAGAACGACAAAGAAAAAAAAAATCTCTTTTTAAAAGATTGGAAATTAAGCACTTCTTACAAATGTAAATCAAAAATAAGAACTTTTTAAAAACCCTGCGCACCCACATTGACATAGGTCGAAACGAATAAGCGAGAAAGGTTTGAATAAGAAAAGAAAGAACTACAAAATAATTTATTGTTTTGAATTTTGAATGAATTTGATTGAAGATGACAAAATCTGTTAACTTTAAGGGTTTTTTTAAGAAAAAAAAATACATTGGGGGAGAGGGACTATCCCATCTATATACTGTGTGCACACCAATGAATTAAGCAAAATTAGGTGAGCACAATGTAATTTTTTTCAAAGAGTTTAAGCTTATAAATTTTTCTTACATTAGCGTTGATAAATCAGTATAAATTTTATAATATATTAAACTTTTTTTTTACTGTTTAATATTAAAATATAAAACAAATTGCCATTAAAATGTTAAACAGAATGAATATTATTGCCGCAACAGGAAGCATGCTTTTTTTTCATCATTGCGAAGTTGATGTATCATTTTCATGGAAGTATTTTTCCTTTTTTCTTTGCCTTCCGGTTTTAGGGTGGGGGCTGACTTTTAAGATCACCTTGGTTTTTAAACATATTTATTTCGAAGAATTAATAATTTGTTTTAACTAGGGTTCGTGTAATGTTTTTGATTTAAAAAAAAAAAAAAAAATCAGATTTTTTTGATTTAAATCAGATTTTTTTAATTTTTATTCAAACACATTGTAAGAACTTTAATTTATGATTAAAAATACTTTATAAATGTTTAATCAAAATTAAGTCAATATTATAGAAGCTCTAACTTACTAATATAATTTTTCATTATAATACATAGCTTTGAATGCATAGCAACCATTTTGAAACAAATGCATGATTGAAATTTGAAGACTAGATGAAATAGAGAATATAATGAAAGGGGTCTGTCTAGGTTTTTCTGAGAGGTATTTTTTTTGTGAAAAATTAAAAATATTAAAAAATCAACACAAAAATACGGATTTACTCGTTTCTTACGAACACAAAAATAAAATTTTTAAAAAAAGTATTTTTTTCCTAAAGTTGAATTTGTGAAGGTACCCTAAGCATTAGCAAATTTGGCTTGGATAGACTCTTTATTTATTAAATTAAAGTTTCAATTAGCAAACCATAATTTTAATTTAAAATTGTGATTTTTTTCTCTTGATTTTTAATCTGATAAAATAAATGTAGTCATTCATCAATAAATAAATAAATATTTAATCTATTTTTATATTAATTTTTAATTCTATATCAAAATAGATCAGCTAAAATCTATGCACTCATTGGAATTTTTTTGTCACAAAATTTCTTTATAGAAAATCTGATAATGTCAAAAATTCTGTAAACATATTATGAGAAAAAAACACAAGTTACCAGTTAATAACTCTACTGCCTCCAATAAACTTTGAAAGGGAATAATGACAACATATCAGGAAAAAATATCTGAATTCATTAGCCTTTTTTTTCCTTCTATTTTTGGCATATTAGGGTAATTTCTTTTTAAAATAACCTCAAGCTTTAGAAATATACATTTTCCGCCAATAAAATATAGTGTAGATTTTAATTCCATGCTATTTCAATCGAAAGGTAGAATTTTAATTAAGATTATTTTTTTTTCCTCGAAATTCATGTCTATTAATTACTTTCTATAGCTATGCAAGTCTATATTAAGACAGCATTAAGTGTGTACTTTCAGTCTCAAGAGTCAAAAGATTTTTTAAAATTTAATTTCAAATGTGTTGGAATTTAACACACACTAAGAAAGAAATTAATTTCGTTAACTAAAATTAATTAACACAGCAATTTATTTAAAAAAAATTTTAAAACTAAGAAAAGAAAACAATAAAAGTATCAATAATTTAAAACACTGTTTTTTAACTTTTAAAATCAATATATACATTAAAAAAATCAGTTGATTTAAATCAATGATTTTTTAAAAAAAATCATTTGATTTAAATCATGATTTAAATTGTGATTTAAATCAAGCTGATTTAAATCAACGAACCCTGGTTTTAACCCTCACTAAAGCAAATACAAACATATCATGACCAAGAAGCAGCACTTTAATTATGACATTCGTTATGTACATAAAATAATTTTACTTAAACATAGGTTGAGAATACATCATCTTACACAGGATCCTCGGATTTTCTGCAGTAGCTCCCGCTTTATGGAATCTGACACAAGCTCTGAAAAAAATAATATTGATGATTCAAAATTAAAGTACTATAAATAAAAAATAATACTTGTAATTTTTTTTAGTTTTTCATTTCAGATAGAGAACAAAAACACATATTTTTTCCAGCTAAAGTTTCATGAAGCTACAATGACCCCCGTGATAGATATTATAGAGGTGAATGTGGTCAAGTTTTGAATTTAAAGTAATTTGCAATTAAAATTTTCAAAAATAAAACGAAATTGATACAGTTCTTTTATAAGTAGGCTAGATACAAAAATGACTCTTTTTAGCTGTTTAACCACAGAAATTTATTGCGAATTCTATAACATAAATTTAACAAGTACATATAGCAGTGCTGTTTGATTTTTGAATTGTGTGAATATTTTTTTTTATAATTCCAATGGCAAACTCTTACAACATTAACAAAGAACTGGATAAATAAATGCTAAAAAGGTTTTTGATTTTTGATCGATTGTAAAATAACATAAAAAAAGTGTATGAAGTTTTGATCTTTGTCCGTCGTTTAAGACGACGATACATACACATAACGTCATGGTCTGCAGGGCTCTGTCGGTTCCTTTTCATTTGCTGTTGGTAGTTCAAGCGTGGATCATGACTTCATCCATTAAATGGTAGTATTTAAGCTTCTGTTGAAGCCGATTACTTGGTATTCTTTCTTTTGTCACTCTGCTTGTGAGAGTACGTCTACCAGTTTAAAATGTTCTAAAATAAATTTATTACTATAGAAACTTCGTCTTTTATTTGTCTTGTTGACATACAGATACGATATTCTGCAACAATCTCGGATATCAAGAACAGGAATAAAAGAAACACAATAAGAGAAAACGTTTTTACATTTCAATGCTTATTGACACATTTTTTTAAACAATTTGAAATAAAGGTTACTTTATAAACTCTTTCAAAGGAATGAAGTTTTAACAAAAAGTTTTTTGAAATTATTTTCTTTGTTATAGTCAAATTTTTATTACCGGGCATAGCAAACAGATTTAAATACCTGGTTATTAACTCTAATTACCTAATCCAAGATATTTAGAATTGGCTGAATAACTGAGGAAAATTTTTTTGGACCGGCTACCCCTGTGGCAGTTTTTTCTAGTTTTCTGCAACAATTCTCTCTAGTACTAATACCTTTTTGAAAAAGCATTTTTAATAGTAGCAGAAATAAATGTCACAAATTTAAAGCAACAGAAGCACTTGTGTTTACAAAAAAAACCTTGTGTATGGAATAGAACAAATGTTTTTTTTTTTTAAATCTTAATATAAAAGAATACATATTCTAATATTATTGGCAATATTCTCCTGTTCTAAAAAATATTTGTAAAGTTAAACCTTTTTAAATTTTTCCTATTTGAAAGTTACTTTTTATAATATCAATCTGAAATTCTAGCTAAAGCCAGTCATTGCAGAATTTTTTTATTCTTAAAAGTAGAAGAAAAAATCATGAGGATTTATTCCACCTCCGCTATGTGAAAAATGCATTTTTTTAAATATAATTCTGCAGAAAGGGGAAAAAAGTTCTGCAGAAAAAAAAATATTTCGAAAAATTCTGCAGGTAAAAAAAAAAAAAAACTTCTTCGCTTCCCAAATGAAAAAATCTTTCTGCAAGAGCTCTTTAACGTTCTGTGACAATGTTGCCATGATTCTGTCACAGCGCCTTCTACATCTCTACATTAAACCACTTTTTTAAAAAAAAGAATTCCACAATATACTCAAGATCCTGTTAAATCATGTTTCGTAATAAAGGAGTTTGAAAAAATAAAATTTTTTAAAAGAATGTTGTTCACCTCTGCCTTTAGGTGTCATTTCTTTCACTAGACTTTCAACAGTGACATTTTCAACACCTTTTTCACGAATGATATCTGAAATAAAAATATTGAAATGACTCGAGGTGTCACAATATGTAATATTTTTAACTAACCAAAAATAACACAGAACTATAATTTCCAGCATAGGATGAAGAACCATAGATTAAAAAATATATTAGCGCATAATATACAAATATCATGAAACGAAACTTCCCAATTGTAAAAATTATAAAAGCATCTCATTTACAGATATGAGATTTCAAAAAGAAAAAATACAAAAGAAATAAAAAGAATGTGTTATGACCAAGGTTCGGTGATTTTAAGCTTCTTAAAACATCTTTCTCAGGGTTGCCACTCATATTAGGAAAAAAAAAATTCGCTGCGTTTTCTCCGCACGTATGATATACACAGTATATTAAGAGGAAACACACAATCACTGTGCTCTTGTCTGAGCTATATCAGGTTAACTATACTAGTTTCAATTGTTAGAAAAACTTAAAAAAACAGCTTAACTTACTTAAAACAAATAATGCTATAGTTTAGTATAGCTGAAATATCATCCTTAAATATCCCATAGAATGCGCATTGAGTGGTCACCATTTTTTGAAAGACGAAAATAAGAAAAAAAAATTCCTGTTTTTCTCCAGTTTGTTAAGAAAGAATCGAAATTCCCTGCATTTTCCCTGTTATTTAGGTAATTCCCTGTGGAGTGGCAACCTTGTTTTTTAAAGGATAATAAAAATCCAATTTAAATAAAACAAATCAAATAAATTGGCCAAATAGCTTTAAATAACACTAAAAATAGTAACCCGGAAATATAGGCACTCAAGAGCTTGCAGAGCACACCATCCATAAGCTTTAGATTTAATAAGGCTTTAAAATGTGATAGAACATGTTTTATTCTTATTTGTATTGCAGTAAAGGCATTTTTTTTTATTCCTAATGTGTAAAATTTTAGGGAATGTTTATATAATTCAGCTAACTTATTTCTTGTCAAATATTCCTCTATTTTTTTTTTAAAAAAAAAATTGATGTTTTAGCAAACTTTATTTTAAAGTTAAATAGTAGAAATCAATTATTTCAAACTAGGAGTAGACTAGATATCAAAAAAAAAAAAACTTTTAATGAAGCTCTTGATTAATTATCGTAAATGAAATAATACTATGGAAAAAAAGAAGAAAAAGTGACAGTGAAATTTTAAACTTTTTAAAAATTATGTGTATAAATTCAAAATTATGAAATTTCGTGTTTTTTTAAGAAATATATATTACTTTCATGTCGTAGTTAATACAAAAAAAAAAAAAAAAAACTTTATAAATTTTTTAAAAGTAACTATCAAAATAAAAAAATTTATACTCCAATTAAAAATACATTAAATTAACAACACTGATATCTAAATATAAATACAGCACATTCCTTTATAGGTGACACAAATTTAATATGGTATCCTTATTTTATAACTTGTTACACAATCCTTCTGTTTATTTACCTAAAAAAAAATTTCAATTTGTATATATATATAATAAAAAGCTTCAACTAATCTTTTTATATTATTCCTTTATCAATATCATAATTTAATATTCTAAACGAAATGCTTTTTCTCACACTTTAATATACACATCACGTCTTTAAATGTATTTTTATTTCAAGTATGCATTAATTAAAATTTTAACGTTTATCCCTCTAACTGACTGCAAGAAGGATCTTTTCCCTGAACCTATTTTAAAGACCTATTACAATTATTAAAATTTCCCTCTTTCCCTAAAACAATACATTTTTACAGATTTACTTTGCAAGATTTTTCTTAATATTTATTAAGGTGCACAACAATTTTGTGTCACTTGAATGCTAGGACTTCAGGAATATGTCTCAGTAAATAATAATTAGGTACAGTCTAGTGACCTGAAACCTGCCTTGTTCTACCTCTTAGCGCAACATTCTAATAAATATATCATCTCCAATACGAAAATATTTCGGTGAGAACTAGCAATTTTTAATTTTCTTTTAACCATTTGTTCCAGTTTTTTCGAAAATGTCAGCTGCAGGAGAAAAAAAAAATTCTATATAAAAAAAAATTAAAAATTCATGTAAAGCGGAAGTAATTGTCAAAATGTAATGTAAATGCGAAATGGGAAAGAGTAATGCATTGTAGGGAAATTTCAGTACAAAATCGCCTGCTGGCTCAACGCTCAGAGGGTTGAGGTCGTTGTTATATGTTTAGCATTAACAAATAAGTACCAGGGGTCTGTCCAGACATTTTGTGAAAGGTCCGTTTTTGTAAAAATGTGAAAAAATTACTCGTAATTTGTGAATATAAAAAAAGGTTAAGTCACATTCTTTCAACCAGGGTTCGTTTTTGTGAATTTGTGCAAATAGGTTCCGTTATTGTAAAAAAACTTTTTCAAATTGTAAAGACATACAAGATTATGCTCAACACTGTAAAATCATAATTAAAAAAATAAAATTTTAAAAAATCAACAATAATTGCAGCAACTAAATTAGCGATGCAACATGCAAATATTTGGTATTTAGCCTATACTGCTGAATGCAGACTATTCATTTCGGACGAATATAGGAAGAAGTGTCGGCCGAAGACAAAATTTAGTTCGTTTACATCTTTCTTTCCCCCCTTCCTGGGAAGGGTTTATTAGATTAACAAAACAATAATGAAGATACAGTAGAGTCCCGATAATCCGAACCCCGGTTATCCGAGTTTCCGCTTTAACCGAGCTATCAAATATTTTAAGGATTTTTTTTGTTCTAGTTTATTTTTTATTTTAAAAATACCGCCTAAAAATAAATCTGAATTTTATCTTCCGAACACTCGGGAAAACAAAATCTAACATCTTGATCCCATGAAATGATTGTTAATATTGTCAATAATGAAAATGAACCTAGCAAAGATGATGAAGACAGTGACGATGAAAATCAACATATAAAAATCTCTCACACAGATGAACTTAAAGCTGTCAAAAATGCTACTGAATACATANATTGCAGCTACTAAATTAGCGATGCAACATGCAAATATTTGGTATTTAGCCTATACTGCTAAATGCAGAATATTCATTTCGAACGAATAAAGGAAGAAGCGTCGGCCGAAGACAAAATTTAGTTCGTTTACATCTGTCTTTCGTTCATCCCTTCCTGGGAAGGGTTTATTAGATCAACAAAACAATAATGAAGATACAGTAGAGTCCCGATAATCCGAGCCCCGGTTATCCGAGTTTCTGCTTTAACCGAGCTATCAAATATTTTAAGGATTTTTTTTGTTCTAGTTTATTTTTTATTTTAAAAATACCGCCTAAAAACAACTCTGAATTTTATCTTCCAAACACTCGGGAAAACAAAATCTAACATCTTGATCCCATGAAATGATTGTTAATATCGTCAATAATGAAAATGAACCTAGCAAAGATGATGAAGACAGTGACGATGAAAACCAACATATAAAAATCTCTCACCCAGATGAACATAAAGCTGTCAAAAATGCTACTGAATACAAAAACAACAAAAAGAGGCGACACCAGCCTTCTTGTTATCCCTAAAAAATGGTGAAACATTGCTGCAGAAAAGCACCAAAGTTATGTAAAACAGAAAACGATTAAGGACTTTTTTTTAAGTAAAAACTCTTTAATTCTCGCAAAGTATACTTTTTAAGTTTATTCAAGTAACCTTTTTAATAATAATAGGAATTGTATGTGATATACTCGTATAAATTTTATATTTCTTAAATATATTACATTTATACCAACTCTTTTTCTTTCTTTATTTATATTCTTCGTTTTAACCGAGTTTTTCAGTTATCTGAGTTAGTCGTGGTCCATATTAACTCGGATAATCGGGACTCTACTGTAAATAAATTTGTGAAGGGTCCGATTAAAAGATAAATTATTTTGTGAAGGGCCGTTTTTAAGTTAAAATATTTTGTGAAGGGTTCGTTTTTATGAAGATATTTTGTGGAGGGTCTGTTAACGGACCCAAATTTCTTCTAAGCAGACCCCTGAATATAAAACCTTCATTAATAAACCTCCATTAATGAACTTCATGAATAAACTTCCAATTTATTCCAAGAAATTTCCAATTTATAACGAGAAATACTCTCATCAACTCGAAAATAACATAATTGAGGAAAACGACTTTGTTAAGTGTCAAGTTGTTCAATTTAAATTAAGAAATAGCAATAATCAAATAGATGAACAAGAATCTTACCACGGCATACTGCTTTCATCTCATCTCGCCATCCACTTTCTGTCAATCTAGTTTTCAGCAACTCTTTTAATCTAAATAAACATGAGTTAAACAAATATTAAAAACTTGCTGATGGCAGTTCGTGAAAAAATAAATAAGTTCTAGAAAAATTGATTTCATAAATATATTACTAAATAAGTTTTTTTTATGTACAAATTTTGAAGTTCTTTTTTATTTTATTTCCAATGGCAAAGAACAAACTCCTATAAGATTAACAAAGAACAGAAATAAAAAAGTACACCATACGAGAAAAGAGTCAATGCCCCACCAGCAAATGTCAAACACTCCAGTATCCATTGGGGCAAAAGCTTCTTTGGTGGTTCCCCTCAGCATCACTACTTCAGTAATGAAAAATAGAACTTTATGGAGGTGCTTAAATTTTTGACCTCATTATGCATATATGACAAGAAAATTGAGTCGAACCTAAAATAGCTTTAAAGTCTCTCCAATGGTTAGACGAAATATCGTTTTGTCCATTTTACCGATTTTCTGGCAATTCTATGTCCATCATGCCGAATGCAGTTTTCTGATTGTTAACTTTGTCATCTAGCTGCGAAAAATTCATATCCTTGCTGACATTTGGGCGGAATTCAGCTAAATTTTCGCAATTACGACGGCTCACTTTAGCCAATCAGAAGCCTGTATGTTTGTAAACATATCGCACTTTGCGATATGTAAAAATACATGCTATTGTCCATCGTAATTGCAAAAATTTAGCTGAATTCCACACTAAAATGCCATGGATTTACGAAATATAATAGATATTTTGCTTTCATACGATAGTTTAATGAAGAAACTAACATAAAACTGACAGATTTTACACTGTACTGATATTTTATTTTTTAAAAAAAGTTCTTTAAAGAAGGAAACCAAAAATTAAACTTTCAATTCAATTTGGGGCCCCCCCCTCTGATGTAGGGTCCAGGAAAACTGCCTGTATGCCCCTGCCTTTGTCAGGCTCTGATCGTTTCACCTCAGAGACCCCACGCAAAGCCGTGCATCCCAACAAACGTCCATGATTTTGTTTCTTCCACAAAATAGAGTTCATCATCATAGTTGGCCAGACAGCCCAATGTGAGCCAATGCTTTCCTCTGAAGATGTCTCCATGACGACTTCCAATTTATCTTTGATCTCCAATTCCTTTCATTAATTGCGAGAAAATCAGACTCCACCGAGTCAGCCCATCTCAACCGCTGCCTTCCCCGCTTTCTTGTGGGTCTAAAAAGCAGTATCTTTTTTATTGTGTTGTCGTCACTCATTCGAATCACGTGGGCAATCCAATTCATTATATTTATTTTTATGTATTTAATAATATCAGGTTGTTTATAAATCTTGTACAGTTCAAAGTTAAATCTCCTTCTCCAGTTATTGTTTTCATTTACACCACAAAGTTTTACCCGCAATATCTTTCTCTCAAATATTGCGATGCAATTTTCCTCCAGTTTTGTCATTGTCCAAAGCTTCAGAAGACTGGCCAGACAAGAGTTTTGTAGATAAAGAACTTTGCTTTTCTAGAAAGAAACCTAAATTTAATAAATCTTCTCATCCCATAGACAGCCCTATTAGCCAGATAGTCAGTTTTTTTATTTCAGGAGTAATTCTGTTGTCAATGGTAATAATTGATCCTAAGTAAGTAAAATTCAAGATAGGGATCCGGGACTCTGTTTCTTGAGAATAACATATATTTTGCTTTCTCTACATTTATGACCAAGCCCATTTGCCTTGCAGCCACCTCAAGGGCAAGAAATGCCTCTTTCAGGGCAGGAAGGGAATGAGCAATTATATCAACATCATCAGCATATGCAAGTAGTTGTACTGATCTAGTTAAAAAGGTGACCACTGGTATTGATGTTTAATCACGAATAACTCTCTCAAGCGCAATATTAAAAAGAAGACAGGAGAGAGAATCTCCTTGTCGAACACCCGCGAATGTGTCAAAATTTTCTGACAGAGACCCCAGAAACTTGATCTTACACTTTGTATCTTTCAATGTAAGTCTCGTCAATTTAATGAGTTTTGAAGGTATTTTAAAATTATTCATTGTTTCAAAAAGATAATTTCTATTGATACTATCAAAAGATGATGTGTTTCAATCAATTCCATTGATTTCTCTAAAATCTGACAGAGACAAAATATCTGATCTTTAGTTGATTTTCCAGCATGGAATCCACATTGATATTTTCCTATTTGCGAGTCAATTAATGGTAACAGCCTGAGATATAAAATTCTAGATAGAATTTTATAAGTTATACAAAGAAGACTAATGCTACAATAAAAATGGGCGGTTAGGACATGTGAAAATACCATTTGAGTGAAGGTGGTTTGCCAGAAGTACAAGTTTTGAAGAACTCGCATGGATATTAGTACAAATAACATAATATAAATTAACTTTTTTTAAAGAATAATTTGTAGTTATTAATAATTAGACATAAAAAGAAATATTGTGAACAAAATATATCAGAAGATTCACCAATAAGTAAATGACTTCAACACAAAAGATTGTTAAAAAAAAAATCTTGATAATTTTTAGGACATTGTTTTTAAGACAGTAAAATGCCCGCTATAACATAATATATTTGTATATAACATAATATAATACGCTATAACATAATATATAAGTATATTTGTTGTAGTTATCAGCCCTGAATTCATTACTTTTTGATCTTTGTATATAAATGCGATGTGGTGTTCATAAAGATACTCATTTTGTTAACAAATTAAATTAGCCAAAAATTTTTTTGTGAACTTTATATCAAAATTTATAGTCACAAATTAATGAAAATAGAGCTGAATGTTTCTTATATTTTAACAAATGTAAAAAGTACATGCAAAGTTAAAAGTTTCTATGTTTTTACTTCTGAGTGCAGCCACCAAATTGTTTCGTTTTTAACTTTACACATAATTTTTTTAAAGCCTTTCAAGTGCTGTTCCTCGCAGGTCGCCGTAGTCATAGCCACGCAGGTCGTCAGGCTACCAAAGTAGGGAGCCATCCCCTCTGCAGACGATCAAAATTGCGATGGCATGTCTTTGGATCATCCTAAGAGATGTTTCTCAGACCTTGGCCAATAGTCAATTGAGCAGCTCTAGCGTGATGTAAATAAAGTCCCTACCTACCTTAAGTGCTTTTTTTTTATGATAATAATTTTAAATGTTAACCTAGTGATGAAGTTACAAGCTGACCTGTTTAAAAACTATCGCATTGAAATTAAAATGGTAAAAGGGAAAAGTTACTTCAGATTGCTCAAACTTCAATTTTTGCACAGACGTACTCTGAAAAGGTTGGTAATTGGTTACTAAGGTGTTGATTTTGATTTCCGTTTGCAGTTTTAACGAGTGGGTAGTATGAGCAATACATACACGAGACATTAAATTCCCTATACTTGGAGTAATCTTCCAAATTGCAAAAATAATAAAATTTTGGTGGAACATTATTTTAAAAAGAATTCTTATGTGAGTAAGGGAGAAAAACTTATTTGCTTACCACTTTACAAGGGTGTGGGGGATCGTGCAGTTCATATCTGGAATTTTTTTAAAAAAAATTTCAATGGCGAGTACTTGGGTCCCAAACAGATTTATAAAAGAATATATTATATAATTTAAAATTAAATTTACATTGTCTGTATATATTTGTACTTTCAAATGTCATACTTTATTTTGTAAGTAAATGTATCACTGGGGGATACTCTGCAGCGTTGGTATTATACCCCCTCTAATATTTTGCGTTAGAAAACACCTGCGGCTTAATCAGTACCTCTCACACCCTTTTTATAAACTTATGAGAGTCGGACATGCTCAAGGATACTATTCTCTCAACATAGAATTGAGTTAACATGTTTTACATACTGGTGAATTGAAATCATATTTTTGAAGTGGTAGACACACTACACACACCTAACAGATTTTGCCTCCATAACCAGAACTTGCTTTCCAATTATGATGCATCACTACAAGGACAGGATTCAACTAAAAGTATAGTTTATTAAAATTTTTAACAATTAACACATAATTTCTAGAACTTAAAAAACGATACCTGTACTTAAAAAAGTCATCAAGTTACTTGAAAAATTTAAATTACATAAAGTCAATTAAAAAAAAAAGCTTTTTTAAATCACAAGTTTTATTTTGCGATGAGAAACTTGTTACCACTTAAATAGTTGTAGTCTATTTACGTCACACTAGGAGTTGACACTGTTTATTTAAAGACACTGGAATACATCTCTGACGATGTCCCGAAGACATGCCATCTTAGCAGAGGGGATGGCATCCCCGCTTCGGTAGCCTGATGACCAACACGCGAAGTTGAGCACTTTACGGTAGAACAATTTAACAAGGACCAATACAAGAACCCTTGGTCCCATCGCAGACTGATCAAAGTGGTCATCCACCTGAACACTGAGAGCAAACAGCAATGCTTGACACTTTAATAAACTGCTGATTTGGTGTCTTAACGATCAGTCCATGGGGGGGGGTGATATATGTTGAAATAGATTTCAATAAATGCCAACAAACTTTGCAAAGATAAACACAACTAATTTTAAGAGCTAATTTTAAATAAGAAAGCTGAAAAAACATGACTAATACAATGTTTTTAAAAACACACTTTTTACAAAAAAAAGAAAAGAGTGAAAATAGCAATTACTAACTTTTCAACATCAGATGGTTCAATGAATGTTTTATGCTCAACCATGGCAACCTAAAAAAAAAAAAGCGATTGAAAGTTATAAAAATTTAGATTTAAATGAAAATAAAGATAGGCTTTCTGTTCTATCATCAAGGAATCTGGTTGAATCAAATTGCTATAAAAAAATTAGTTAGAAAAAAAAATGAATAAAAAAAAAAATGAAACCTCAAAACAACATTAATTCTAATCTAAACAATTATATTCAATATGTTGTTGTGCTAATGATTTAATAATGATTATTTAAGTAATATAATATAATTTAATCCTTTTTATTTTTATGGAACTAAATATTATTTGAATGTCACATATGATTGATGGAAAGAAAATGGGGCATTTTAAACCATCAATTATGGTATCTTTTGAACAGTACTTTTTGTTCCGTTATAAGGGGTCTGTTCAGACACTTTGTAAAAGGTCCTGTTTTTAAAAAATTGTGAAAAAACTATTCCTAATTTGTGAATATAAAATAAGCATTAAGTCACATTCTTTCAACCAGGGTCCTGTTTACGTGAATTTGTGAAAATAGGGTCCGGTTATTGCAAACAACCTTAACAAGGAGTTTTTAAATTGCAAACAGATACAAGATTATGCTCAACACTGTAAAATTATAATTAAAAAAAATTAAATTTTCAAAAATAAACAGCAATTTCTGCTACGAAATTAGAGATGCAACAAAACAAATATTTGGTATTTATCCTATGCTGCTGAACGCAGAATACTCATTTCGGATGAATAATGGAAACAAAATCACTCACATTTTTAATAATTTCAATTNCAAGAATATGCTCAACAATTTCTGCTACTAAATTAGAGATGCAACCTACAAATATTTGGTATTTAGCCTATACTGCTCAACGCAGTATAGGCTAAATAATGGAAACAAAATCACTTACATTTTTAATAATTTCAATTGACATATTTTAAATAACACAACTTAGTTATGTATTACTTTTAATGTGTTACGCATTCAGTAAATTTAAACAATTCTTAAATTTTTAATATTTTTTTTAAAAAAATTGACACAAGTTTTAACAAAACAATAATGAAGATAAAACTTTTTTTTGAAGGGTCCGATTAAAAGATAAATTATTTTGTGAAGGGTCGGTTTTTAAGTTAAAATAATTTGTGAAAGGTCCATTTTGATGAAAGATATTTTGTGAAGTGTCTGTTAACGATTACTGCTAAAGACTTAATGATTTTCACTTATTTTTTTAAATGTGATAATGATTTACTAAATGCAATAACGGAAATAATTAGTGTGTTTTTCCCCTCAACTAAATTAAAAAATATTGCCCATAATCTTAGAGTAAAAAAATACTACACATTCAATGAAAATGATTAGATGAGTTTTTTTTTTTTTTTTGTAAACACACAGCGCTTTTATTACTTAAAATAGTAAAATACATAATTGTTATTATTGAAAGCATCTTGCAGAAAGATACGAGTGCTAGAGAGTTTTGTAGCAGATAGCTCAAAAAAATTCTGTGACAGGGATACTTCCAGTGGCGGATTACCTATTAGGGCATGGCCTGGGGCCCCCTTAAAAATGGTTTCTTTAAAAATAAATTTTAAAAAATTAAGAAAAACAATGATTTAAAAAAAAAATCAATTTCAAATATATATTAATAAAATACGATAATTTTTTTACAGAATGTTAATCATATTTATTTATTATTTATTTCAGTTATTATAGTTCAAGACAAACTTGGATCTGTTTTTCCAAATGTTGAAACTGCTCTTAGCATTTTTCTAACTCTTATGATAACAAATCGTTCTACGGAGCACTCGATTTCAAAAATGAAACGAATCAAGAGAGAACAAAGAACCGTCGTGTTTCAAAAACGATTAGGCATGCTACGTTTGATGTTTATTAAATCAGATGTTCTCTGTGAAACTAATTTTGATAACATTATAGATGAGTCTATTGATCGCAAGAATAGAAAAAAAGATTTTTGAATACCAATTTTATAGTAGCGTTGATTTTGTAAAGTGTTAATAAATTTCAAATTTTATTATTATATTTAAGTTCTAATTTAACAAAATAAAATAAAATTTAATTTATTATTATTTTAAATATGCTTTCATAAATGATAAGTTATATAAATACTTTTATATTTGAATAAAGAAAAAATATAAGAGAAAAAAAAATTTAATCTAAGGGCCCTAAAAATTTGAATGGCCTAGGGCCCCGCTTATGCTTAATCTGGCACTGGGCACTTCCAATAATTCAGTCAGGCGAGAGTCAAAACATTTCAAGAATTCTTTTGGGAAGAGTTTGAAACATGTGACATTCTGCAGAGTTTCAGCAATAGAATTTTTTACAGCAGTAAATTAAAAGCACAGCTATTGTAAGCACTTATTGTAAGCATAGAAAACTGGATTGGATGATTGACTGCATTAAAGCTTGAAATCTATTATTATTATAATAAAGAAAATAAATATTTGGCTCTTGGAAACATGATTAACAAATAAATTTAATTATGAACTCTTAGAGTATTACAAAATACTTTCTAAAAAGGTCAGAATATCTTCTATAAAACATTAATGTTCTTAAATTTAAAAAAAAAAAAAAAAAGTTAGAAAAACTACGTTTCACAAAATTTATTTTTACCATAGAATAATTTTCCCTAACATAAAATGAACAGAAACTTCAAATGAATTATTGTAATTTTTTAAAAAATATTAGGAGGATAACTTATAATAATATTTAAGGCATATTGACAATACTTTATTCAATCTCTAGTATTTATACTTCTCTTTTTAAGAGCATTTTATAGAAAAATCTGCACACGAGTAGAAATTTATACAGACAGAGCTTTTTGGTCAATTTTTTAATAAATAAAATACATATTTTTCTGTATTTATTAGTACTTTTCAGCTTAAGAGTGGCTAATTTTCACAAATTTGAGTTTTCACTTGAAAATACATTAAGATTTTTTCGGCAAACTATACTATTTTATAACTATTTTGTTTAAATTGCAATACAATCCTGGCAAACGGAAAAGTACTAATACAACAATAATTTAAAACATTATATTACGTTTAAGTAATTTAAAATTAAAATTACCTGAATTGCGAAGGATTTCGCTTGTTTACCTTTATGCTTGTGAGCAAGCTTTTTTTTTTTTTTTTTTGCGTATCCGTTAGCTTATTTCTGTCTAGATTCGTATTTTTCTGCCTTCCGAATCATCTTAAAAAGCTAAAAGCTTGTTGGCTAAACAGTCATAAAACTAAGACTTATACTTCCGACTGGTTTTAGGTAGCTTATTGTTTACATCAACCATCCTTAAATGCCGCATTTAATACAAACGCCAGCCAAAAGTTAACAAATATCTCCTTAAGCAATTTTTGTGGAGAAAAGCATGTCTGAATTCGATAATTATTCTAATTTAAAAGATTTGGGCTGGATTAATATCCCAGGAGTTAATTTTATTATGAAATATAAATTTTCCGAGGAAGGATACTCCATTTTAGTTACTAATCTTAAAGAAATATTTGGCGAAAGTATTAATGAAGATCTAGTACAACAAAGATTTTCTGTAAGCCTTCCTTAATTTAGTTGTGCCGAGACACACTTTTTTGTTCTTCTGAAATGCGTTAAATGAATCTTTACCTATAATTACTTTTATTATGATTGTCTTTTTTTGTTGTTGAATGTTTTAAGTATAATACAAAGACAAAAAAGAAATTGCAATAATTAGTTTAAGGAGATTTCCATATCGTGATCTGTGGCGAAGCGAACTTTTGGCAACATCCGGGTAGCAGCCCATGAGAAACTAAAAAATACATCACAGAAAGGGACCAACTTGAAAGGTATAATTCGTAACCACTCGTTTACAAACATTTACATGTTACGTAAAAATGTTTTTTTTAGGGGAAAAGGAAAATTTTAATAATTATAATTGGTCTTTAAAATAGGACCAGGGAAATTATCCTTCTTGCAGTCAGTTAGAGGGATAAACGTTAAAAGATTAATGCATACTTGAAATAAAAGTACATTAAAAGACAATGATGTGAATATTAAAGTGTGAGAAAGAACATTTTGTTTAGAATATTAAATTAAGATATAGATAAATGAATAATATAAAAAGATTAGTTGAAGCTTATTGTGTTATATATATGTACATAGAAATTGAAATTTTTTTATGTAAATAAACAGAAAGATTGTTTAACAAGTTGTAAAATAAGGATACCAAATTTAATTTGTATCACTTATAAAGAAATGTGCTGTATTTATATCTAGATATCAGTGTTGTTTAGTTTAAAATCTTTTTGGCACCTTATCGATTGTAGTTGATGTGACAGATCATGTTACGGAAATATCCCCATTAGTTTAATTAATTGCTTTCAAATTATTGATTCATCTACAGTTTAAGTTATGTGCAATTTGTAACAGATTTTTTATTTATGTTATTTCCAGGGTTGGCAAGGTTTAGGACAGAATGGATTAATCCATGGTTTAAACCAGGGATGGGCAAACTTTTTGGGTCGTGGACCAAAAATCTAGAAAAAAAAGTTTGGTGGGCCGAGTAAAAACTTCTGAAATAAAATAAAGTCAATTCATCATTGAGTGCACGTCACTCTACATCAACTTTGCGTTTTTTAGTTGCCATTTTGGGATAAAAAATGTTTACAAATAACTCAAAAAGGCAGTAGCCATTTTATACATTTAATAATTTCACCATTTTTTACAATGACATTGTATGTGTGCTAGGACTGGGCTTTATACCGATGTAAGACAATATATCGATTTAACTCCAACATCGTAATACCGATTTATCCATTTCATCTTCAACAAAATTCCGGAGTGAGCATTTCGACTCTACTAAATCGATTTATTCATGAGAACAAACGCTAAATCGCCGTTGCTCTCTCCGATGCAGTGAAACACCGGTTTAATCATTGCGNACTAAGTGTTTTGTTAGTCATTAGCAGATTTATTTATCTATAGTGCTATTCAAGAATACTTTTATTTCATTCACGCTCGATTTTCTTAGCATAGTGGTGATACATGTGTCAGTAACTGAAACTGATGTTATACCCTTCAAAACTGTTCATACATTTTCAGTTATTTTGTAATTCCAATTTAAACTAATACATTTATCTGTAAAAACATTTTTTTTTTCAAATAGATGTCTTTTTTATCATTCTGCAATGCAGAAATTATAAAAATTTTTTAAAAAAACATTATGAAAAATAAAAGGTTAATTTTTAAACAAATTTAGTATTTTTTTTAAAAAAATTTATTATTTTTTAATATTGCCATATTTATCCTTATGCAAAAATATTATTTATCAGTATTAAAAGCATATTTATATTTAAAGGATTAGGTATTCACTTTTGTTGTTCAATGAATTGTGGAGCTTCAAAAATTATAAACCTTTTCCTATTATATTATATTATTTTCTTTTAATAAGTTATAGTAAATTGTATAAAAAATATCAAATATTTATTGATACATGTAATTATTATGTGTACAATGGTTACACCTATAGAATTTTTACATTTTACCAAAGTTCAAGTTTTTGGACACTTTAAGACAGTAAAACCCATTTGTCCTGTCCAAAACCAGTTTAGGATGTCCAAAACCCCAACCCTGGTTATTTCATAAGTGTTTATTTTTATTGCAAAATATATTAAATATGAAAAATTGTCTTTCTGACTCATTGCTATTTTCAATAATAAAGCTGCTATTGCATTTATAAATGGATGAACTAATAAAATTCAAGAATGCAATTCAATTTAATTGATAATTTATGCTTTAGCTATTTAATATTAAAATTCCTATTTACCTTTCTAAGAATTTGTGCCAACATTTTTATTTATTGAAAAATAAAAGCTGATAGCAAATTTAGAAATAATTAGCTTTTATTTCATTAAATTTTACCTGTTTGTGATGTTTAAAGTTTTCGAAAGCCGTATCTTTTCTGCAATGTTTAGATACATTTTTGATTTAGTTATTAAATAAAGTGTCTCAATATTATTACAAGTTAAATTCCAAGTGTAACAGAGGGGAAATCACACAAGTATTTCATTCTAAAAAATGTATTAAATATTTTTGAAAACAAACAATTCTGCAAGAACATACTAGGTTAGCGTGCAATGTTTTATTGGCATAAAATAATAAAAGAGCCTCATAATCAAATTGCAAGTTAATTAAAAGTACCTGCAAAAGAGGGGACAAATTAAATCTCTCATTTTTGACATACACTGTTATTTATGTTAAATTCCGTGATTTGGACCATCCTAAACATTATTTGTATTTTTTTTTTAAATTATCACATTTCGAGGTCAAATAAATTGTTATAAGACTTTTAAAATTGTAAACACATTTTTATTAAGTTTAATAGAGGGGACATCTTACAAATTAAACAAATAGTTAAACAGAAATATCACTGTCAAAAGTGACACTTCGGTTGTTTAAAGGTGGAGTTGGCAGCACTGCTATAATATCTGACGTGGGAACCCATGCTACATCTTTGTAGTTATATGTGAAAGTTTGTATTTTTTTTCCTACCAGACAGTGCTAAGAAAGAAACAATACACACATTGACTCTTCCTTTCAGTTATTTGGGCAAGAAAATTAACTACTCTATTTTTTCCTTGAACTTTAACACTTGCAAAACTATCTATTGCAACATCAAAAGAGAAAGAACCTGACATTTTTGTAGATTTATTCATACAGATATCTTCTCCTATTCTCAGGGCCAGACTTAGCCAAATTGGAGCCCCCCTCTGCTCCACTATTTAAGTAATATAAAGAACAGAACTATGGAGGAATTTAAATTTTTCAACTCATTATAGATATATAACAAGAAAATTGACTAGAACCTAAAATTAGCTATAAATGTCCCCCCTCCTTCCAATGATTAGACGAAATATCGTTCTGTCCATTTTATTGATTTTCTGACATTTCTATATCCGTCATGCTGAATACAGTTTTCTGATTGTTAACTTTGTCATATAGCTGCAAAAAATTCATATCTTTGCTGACAATAGAGTGGAATTCAGCTAAATTTTCTCAATTACGATAGCTCAGTTAAGCCAATCAGAAGCCCGTATTTTTGTAAACATACCACATTTTTCGACATGTTAAAAGGAAGAATTTTGATTGGCCAAATTTGTCCATCGTAATTGCTGGAATTTAGCTGAATTCCGTACTAGAAAACAATGGATTTAATTAATATAGATTTTTTGTGTTCATATTATAGATTAATGAAGAAGCTAACATAAAACTGACGGATTTCACACTGTACTGATATTTTGTTTAAAAAAAGTTCATTAAAGAAGGAAACCTAAAATAAGTCTTCTAATCGATTTGGGGGGCCCCTCTGATGTGGGGGCCCGGGGCAACTGCCTTAGTCTGGCTCTGTCTATTCTATACATTTTTCTCCTTCTTCAGTGGATACAGATGCATAAGAAATTAGGTAATTCCTTTGAACGCTTATGCAATAGATTCATCCTATATTTATTATACCTTTTATACTTAACATATGTTCTTCAAATGCAGTAACGTCCTTTTCAATATTCTTTTTTGGACACTGGATTACATTCGTCCCATTGCAGCAAATGATTTAGCATCATTTGGTTAAGAAGTTAATTTTCCTGCCATCATTCCTCCGCACATAACCCTCTTCACGGTATCGCCTACCCCATCAACTGCACCTTTCCCGCGACTTATGGAAGCAAAAAAAAAAATTCAATAGATTTTTATGGATGAAAAAGTTGTTTTTTTAATGGCAGGTATTGAACTTTTACGTCCTTCACCTGATAAAATGCCGAAGTGTTGCTCATTTGAAATTACCCAGTGGGCACCTATGAACCTAAGTCACAGAGGCAAGCAACATTACCCATGCCTCACTGCCACAAATACACGTTCATAGGGTGGGCCACATTCACACACAACAGAGGACAACACACAGAGAGAAACATCCATGCCCAGAGCGGGATTCAAACCCGCAGTCAGGCATGCTAACCGCTCGGCCACTTGGCCTGCTGGATGAAAAAGTAATGTTGCAAAGTGTATACTTCTGTTTGAATTGGGATGATGGTCCGTCACTAGAAATGTCAATTTCTTCCAATGTAGACCATTTAAGTTTATCAAATAGGATTTCATTGAAAGCGTGAATTGCATATTTGTCATGCTACATAATAGTCACTATGACATAACATAATTTTTTTTTCCCCTTCAGTCTAGTTGAGGAAGCCAGGCAGTGTATAAAGAGCACTGCCTGTGAGTTCAGTGGGCTGACTGTACCTCATTTTGACTGAGGAAGGTAAAGTTCCCATTAAAGTTTACTTGTAAAACACACTTTGTGAGATTCTGTCTAAGCTGCTGAAACATGGTGCGCAGCGTTATTAAAAAATGCTTAAAAGTGCTTATTTTTGATTTTCGTTTTGTAAAAGTCCTTAAAGGTGCTTTTTTCATTGAGTGTTTTTAAAAAAGTGCTCAAATTTCCCTTTTCGAAAATTACATTGTTCTATTCCACGTTTTCACGATTCATTCAATCACAGTCTATTTTGGCGTCCCGTCGGTCCATAGCTTATGAAAACGCCAATCATTTTACATGTTTGATGAAATAACTTGAGAGCCCACATGTGCGTCTACTGAGCCGGGTTCAGTGAGATTCTTGCATTCTCGTGTGCAACTCTGCTGCATTTTGCAAGATACTCTCAATTTCAGGTTTCATTTTCCATAATCTGATATCGAAACAAGAAACCTCTTCATCTTTTTATAATGGCTAATATAATCAAGAAAAGAGTTCTTTGTCAGAAACTGGTTGTTTTATCATCTGGTTATTTTATCATATATTTATCTGGTTATTTTACTCGTGTAAAGTTTTTGAAAATTATTTTGCATTTTGTTAATGTATATAGTGCTTAAAAATATTTTTTGAGTGCTTAAAAAGTGTTAACCCTGTTAAAATACTCAAATGGTGTTGATTTTTCATAGCAGTGTAATTTAAATTTTTCTAATTGGAACTCAACAGGGCCATCTTAATAGCATGTAATGATCCGCGGGCACAGATGCTCTATAACATATCATATTGTTTGAAATCGAACTAAAAATTTTCACATGCATGAAATAAGGCATTTTTAAAATATGATTTTGATTACCTTAAAAACTTAATGAACATAAGTTAAAGCATTTTTAGACTATGCATTTTTTTTAAAGTTATTTTAATCAGTTGCAATCTTCAAATAATAAAACAATTTTCAAAACCATGGAAGCTTATTAAAATAGTTAAATTTAAAAAAAATCATAAAAGTATAACAAATCAGGAAAAAAAATCAAATGATCTGAAATAGTTTGCCAAACTTAGCAGTTATTGAAACATCTTTCAATACACATCTGCCATTACCAGTATAAAAGTTGCTGTAACATAGTGCTGTGTAATTCTAAACTCTTTCAATTATGGTTTTATTTAACTAAATTTAAATACATACTTGACAGAGTTGGTGGTGGTCAAGCATTTTGAATAATATTATGACTTTACATAAAACTTGGTCATTTTAATTTATTTTACAAGTGCATATGAGCCTTGCAGGCCTCAAATTGAACTAAATGATAGTAAACTAGTTTATATAGTTATGTGTATATATATTATAAAAATCTAAAATATTTCATTATTAATCTAGGATTTGAATGTGCATGCTAAAATGAAAACAAATGTGATCATGAGAAATCTGGAAAGAAGTTTAGACATGCATTTGACTAGGGAGGATTTTATCTTCAAATTAGAATGTTTCGAGAAATGTATGAGATTCCAAGTTCAGTTCAATGTCAATAGAGCGTCTCTAATTTTTAATTTTGAGCCTTGTCTCTTATCATTCCATGAAGTAAGTAGAAATATAAAAGGTTTAAAGTATTTATTATGAATTTCTTTTAATGTGATTCTTACTCGAAAAGACACCCGGTGGCTGAGTCGTAGCGCTTCACGCTCCCGTGCGTCCTGGGTTCGATCCTCGGGTCGAGCAAGGTGAACATTCTGGACAATGCTGCACTAACAACTCTATGGCTATATTTCGGCCCATTTCTCTTCCAGCAGGATAACGGCTCCATTCACACATCGAGTCTTGCACAGACGTGATTTGACGAAATGGGTGTTCAAAAACTGGACTAGTGTCCGGATACTTTTGGCCAGATTCCATACCACTAAGTGTCTGTACACTTGGCCAGATTCCATACCACTAAGTGTCCGGATACTTTTGGCCAGATTCCATACCACTAAGTGTTCGGATACTTTTGGCCAGATAGTGTATTAACACACTTTGTAGTCATAGTTGCAATGTGAGTTTTATAACATTGGATATGTTTTAAATGTCTTTTTTTTTCTGTGAGTACTAAGTGGTTTCAGATCATATTTGAAAAGTCAAATGAAATAAAAAGTGCTTCACAGTTAAAAAATCTATTTTTGACCCAATGGACAGCTCAAATAGAATCGCTCGAGGTAGTTCAGTCATCTTAAAAAATGTGTGTAAGCACTCTATTACTCATTGCAAAAGAAAAAGGGAAATTTGACCCAAAAACGTGCATATTCTTTACAAAGAAAAATCATGGCATTTGATTTTATAGTTGGCATTGTGTTCATGAAAAATGTAATGGTTAAAAGTAAATTGCTGACCCGAAACTTAAAAAACTAAGTATCCCGAACATTATTGATGCAGCTGCAATGATAAAGAGCACAATCAACACCTTAAAAAGATTAAATACAAATACGTGATATAGGTTTATGGATCATTGCAGGGTAATTTATTGAAATTTTTTTAATGAATTAAAAAAAAAAATCATAAATTTTTCTCTGGAAAATTGTAATAATCAATGTTATTTTTCAAATGAGCCTTTGTGCAAAAATATGTCTTTCAGAATGAGCTTCTTGGTAAAAACACAAGTTTTGTTGAGATTTTTAAAACAAGAAACCGAAATAAATCATATTCAACTATTTCTTATTGTCTGGTGTGTTTTTGACAGCATTTATCCCCCCCCAATGATTATTTTATCTAAAAACACTGAGCACTCATTTAGAAAACAAGCAGTAAGAGATTTTCTTCTTCCCCGAGATATGATTCATATTTTTCACTGACATTGAAAATAAAATTAAGGAGAATATAAAAACATTATTATTAAAAGAGAACAACAAAAATACTGCATTTAATTATCAAAATAGATTAAGGAATTGTAAATTATGATCATGGGTGCCCCTCTTCAGTCCTGGGGACTGAAATCAGTGTTGAGAAAAAATCATGAGACTGAACTTCATCAATTAATCTCTTTTTCCATTTGTAATTTAAATTAAAATGTCCTTTTTACCTTAAAAATGATACAAACATTTTCTATTTATTTTTGTAGTTAATTTTATTCAAATATTACATTTTAATGAAAACATTGTTATTTCATATTTATTTTGAAGGGATCTAGTAATAATGTCGCATTGCAATGAAAGGATGGAATTGATTGAACTTTAGTGCCTGCTTGCTTAAACAAAATTTGTACTATTGTTGTATCTAGATTTGTTTAAGTTTTGATTTTTCCCCTAACGTTTTAGTTAATGACCAAGGTTAGGATTATTTAAGAGAAAATTATGGGGATAAGGCATGAAATAAATAATGATGAAGCAAAAAAAAAAGTAGATATATAAACAGCTTCATGCAAAAATTAGTAGTTTATTATCCAGTGATCGGTGTAAAAAGATCTACTAGTTAACTATTATTTTTATCTTGTTTACTTTGAAAAATTAATTAACAAAATATAAAAATAAAAAAAAATCAAATCATTGATTTAATATTTGTACCATTATTATGGAAAGATACATTTTGGAGTCATTGAGCTATGAATTTATGAAAATTCTGGTAAACAACGCTAGATTGTGTTAATTGGTCAAAAAAAAGTTTAGTCTTGACATTTTTTTAGAGTGGCTCCCATGATTATACTAGAACACTAACGTCTTTTATGTATAAAAATTATATTGAATTATTCAGTAATATTTATAAATATATGTTGCAGTTTAAGAATATTATTATGATGGAAATTAAGTGTTATTGGTTGTTGCAATTGAAGTAGATTTTGTTGATTTTAAAATTAAACAAAATTAAAAGTAAATGATACTTAGTCTTCATAGTTCAGGATTTTATAAGGGAATGATGCTTCTAATTATTATAGATGAAATATGTGGAAAATAGAATATTATTGCAAGTGTACGATATTAATCAGAATAAAAAATTAATGTTTCGTAAAATGTTAACGTAAAGCTCAAATTGCCAAATTAAAGAATATTTTATCTATGTAATATTTTAAATAAAATAATAAATTTTGGAAATGGTTTTGAGTGTCTGGCTGTAAGGGCTAAGCCCCACAGGACATCTCTAACCATTGAAAGATCCAAAATGCATACCTGCCAAGTCTCCTGAATTTTACGACTATATATTCTCAAATTCTTGTATTTTATGACCATATATTCTCATATTTCTCTGTATTGGTTGAAGAAATTTTAAAAAAAAATTGGCAATAAAATATCCTCTGATGGCAAAAATACTCTTATTCCTTAACAGATGATGCTATTGCTAGTAATGCAGTATCTTGAGCGTTTATAGTTTAATTATAAATAATGGTTTAAAAAAAAATCTTCTTTAGATTAAGATTTATATACATATTTTTTTTTCTTTGCCAAATTTAAGTGCTTATATTATTTCCTATTTTGAATTTCTCTTTTTAACTTACATGATTATGTATGATGTATCAAAACTTCACTTGTAGGCTAAAAAATATTGCTAGTAAAATCTCCGTTATTTTATTTCTCCAATGTTGGCAGGTATGAATGCAAGTAGGTATGAGAATTTTCACCAAGAAATGGTAAAGAATTCATGCATTGGCTATTAATTGTTTTAAATTATTGACAAGGCTCATTTCGTAACCTTATACATTCAGGTATGTTGTCGGAAAAGAAAGTGAGGAATAATAAGACAAAACATTTCAGCAACCATGTAATGATTTGGAATTCTATGTCAACGTGTTCAGCCAGTGTTTTTAAAGTTGTATTGATTCTGCAAGGTTGTGGAATAAAAAGATGATTAATTTATATTAATGATTTTTATTTATTGAGAAAAGGATTGAATAAATAATTTAATTTTTTTAGCGATTGATGATATATTATGCATATTTTTTGCACAACAGTTATTTATTTGTATATATTTATTTAATAAACATTGATAAACAAACAAAACCAGTAAATTTTAAAAACATTGTGTTGTTATATTATACTATTAATGCTGGTGATTTAAATCGTGCAACCTCAAATATTTCTATACAATTCGCTTTAACCAGTACATATTAATGTATTTTTGTAATTTATAAGTTTCGAACTCTAAAGAAGTATGAAAGAATGATAAATATGTATTATCAAAAAGTTTTGTTTCTTTCATTATTATTACTTCCTTATGAATTCAATATTTATGTGTAAATGTATTGTAAAAATATACATATATTTGATGATTAAAGCGAAATTTTTTTTTGCAGCTAAGAACGCACATTTTAGTGCCTACTCTTTGTCATGCTTTGTTAACTTATCAGGAAAACATTGCTTTAAAGAAAAGACTTAGCCAATGGGAAAGCAAACAGAATCTTGAATCAGTATCTAAATCTAAACGTTAGTTGCTGATATTTTTTTATTCTTTTGTTTTTAGAACTTCTATTATTCCTTACAAGTTTTTTTAAAATTATTATAGTTTTATGTTTTTCTTTCAGAAACTATTTACCTTTAAAAACTTTCTTTATAGAAAATTTTAAATGCTTACATACCTTAGCCATTTTGAAAATAAACCTGAAATGGACATTTCTCCAATTGTTTTATAGAACAGTGTTTCTCTACTCAATTAACTCGAACGACCAGTTAAATATTTTAGTGTTTTATGGCAGATGGGTTAGGACTATTGGCATAATTTTTACGTTAACAAAATTGTGGCACTCACAATTTCTTTGATCAGTTTGTTTCTGATCATTCACTCATTCTCTACAATGAAAAAGGTTTCAAGCCTAAACTTATATAAATATAAATTAGATTTTGTATAGTATTAACAAGAGATCCAAATATTTGTCAGTAGACTGAGCTAAACTGTTATTTTATGCTAAAACATGTGTTTGTTGACAAATATTTTATTGACCATGCACAACAATGATCATAATCATTCAAAATCAATATAAATAATCACACAATTCTTATTTGTATAATTATTTTTAAATAATATCTATTTGGATTTTTTTTCAATATAAAGCATACAGGTTTTACGAAGAAAAAAAAATCCAAAGTCTTTTTTTTTCTTCCAAAGAAACTGATTCTAACCATTATTTTTAAGGCAGTGACTCAGTATTTCACAATCATTCAAACTCAATATAAATAATTACTCAATTCTTATTTGTGCAATTATTTTTAAATAGCATCTATTTGGGTTTTCTTTTTTAACTGTTTTTTTTTATTAAATTTAAACACAACAAAATGGGTGTTCACAAAAATTAATTAAAATATTAAGAGAAAGTAAAAAAATAGTTGAATTTACTTGCACCCAGCTAACCAAAAAGTACATATAAAGGAATTAATATATTTACTAAAAGAGCAAAATTAATGAATTATTGGTCCTAATTCATTTAGAAGGAAAGTAAAAAATTGCCTTATAATTTTTGCTTCCAATAATGGTCACTTAATTTTGGTAATACTTACTAATTAAAATTTAAAAAAAAAAATAAACTAAGTACTCTATAAACCAAAATTGATGAAAAATGGTACTAATTTGTTAAGGAGAAACATATTGAGGCTAATGTTGCTTAATAATTTTGGTAATAGGTCCCATAGCTGTTGTATTCATTGGCGTAGTTTGAATAGTTACCAAAGATACTAATATAGATACAATGTACAGGGCGGTTAAAATTAAACGCACAGTACTCAGAGGCTCATAGCTCCGGTTCTACTGGACGGATACGAATGAAATTTAAAATATACGTTATGTAGAACATGCGCTTGAGGTTTTTGCTATAAAAAAATTTACATTTTCGACAAAAGTTTCAAAGTTCGACGAAATTTTCGGCAAAAATTTCAACTTTTTTTTTATTTCAAAAACCTGGAGCGCATGTTCTACATAACGTATATTTTAAATTTCATTCGGATCCGTCCAGTAGAAACGGAGTTATGAGCCTCTGAGTACTGTGCGTTTAATTTTAACCACCCTGTATTATATTAGTGCATTTGGTGCCTATTAAAACTGCATCAATTCAGGGTGGGTTAAATCTAGGTAGCGTGGACATTTTTTTACGGTCCCTCAAAATAAATAAGTTCCGTAGAATATTGGTTTATTGTGGTAAATTTTAACTTTCATGAGTTGACTTCAAGCAACAGCATCATGCCAAGTGATGAATAGAGTTAATCTTTAATTTGATGGGATGAACTACTAAGAATTAGTTTTGCTTAATCTAATAACATAAAGCCACCTGAAATGGCAAAATATAATAATTAATCAAAAATGTTGGAATTAATTAGCTACATTAATTGTGTTGGTATATATATTTTAGTTTTGTGCATGATTTTGTAGTGTTGTTCAGTACTAATTTATTGGTTATTATTCTTTTTTTCACCACGTATGAAAGACAAACATTCGGCTAGTATTAAATAAATAAAACATGAAAATAAAATTAAATTATTTATACAAAAATTATTCTTACAATAATTTTTAGTGGATAATAATAGATTACTTCTCCAAATTACTACAAAATTATAATTGTACCAACTATTTCGAAACTAAAATTGCTGTTTCAAATAAATCCAAATTCAATTAAAATTAGCTGTTACAAATTACTCTAAAATACCGAATCATATAGTTATTTGTTTTCTTATTTCACAATAATAAATGATTAATCATTTTTACAAAGATTTTAAAAAAAGCGTTTTTTTTCTTTCTATTATCTAATCTATTATTTTTCTATTTATTTTAATATTTATATCTTGCAGGCATGTATTTAAAAGAACACAAATAAATTCATTCCTAGATGTAACATATTTTTCTTATTTTCCAGATATTTTACTGGATTATAAAATGAACTTAAATGCCTTTAATCTAATGAATAATACAAATGTTAGTAAGTATATGATTTTATGCCTGCAAACTGTACTTGTCTATTTTTTTAAATATTTTTAAATTTTTCCATTTAGTGTTTTTACTCTTTTTAGAATTATCTAGTTATAGTTCACTTTGTTTTTAATAATTTCACATTTATTTTGAGTATTCCATCTTTTAATTTATGAAAGTTTTATAAAAGCGGTATGTTTTGAGTTTTGGTCCTGTAAAGTGCCCTTTTTTTAATATTGGGTCCTGTAAAGTACCCTTTTTCATTTTGGTTCCTTTTCTATCCCTTTTTTAAACATTTGGTTCTGTAAAGTATCCTCTTTCATTTTGGTTTCTTTTCTATCCCTTTTTATAGATATTGGTCCTGTAAAGTACCCTTTTTCATTTTGGTTCCTTTTCTATCCTTTGTTTTTAACATTTGGTCCCTGAAGACCCTATTTTTTTTTAAAGAAATTTGTATCAAATGACATGCTGATGCTGGTGCTCATTTTCTATTTCGTTTCCTTTTTCTTTTTTTTTTGTCAAACATAGAATGAGGGATTTGTTCAACTTTTTTTCCATTGACGTTGGCGTTGATTGAGGGAATTTTTGCTAAACTAGTTTCTAGTGCAATTTGGTATTAATCTAACACAAAATTGTACAAAAATACATTCTAACTTTTTCTTTTTGGTGGTAAAATTTTGCATGATTAAATCATAGTAGCATTATCAAATTCTAACTCACCCTATAAAAATATGTTTACAATGAGTTGCGGTGGCCCAAATGTTAATTCATTATAGTTTTATAAAGATGACCAGTCTTCTAGCTGTATGAAAGATGTTGTTGATTGACATTGGTTTGTACAGTTTACAAAAAGTTTATAGTAATAAAACTAAATTTTAATTAGTAATATAACTTAATTTTTATGTGCCTTTTTATGTTTATTTTTGCAAAAATTTGAATCGTTTTAATACAAATGCATGATTTTCAGCCTTAATTATCAATTTTTTGAAGATCTTAATTAGTTGCAAGTCTGTGTTCATTCATTACCTTTATTTAGGTATATCTATGTTGGAGCATCTGATATCACTCATGAAGTGTAGCGTTTTTAAAAAGTGCTTAAAGGTGCTTATTTTCGATTTTCATTTTTTGAAACCTCTTGAGAGTGCTTTTTTCTTTGGGTGTTTTTAAAAAGTGCCTAATTTTCCCTTTTCGAAAATGAGATTTTTTTCTTTACCATGTCGATTTTCACCACAAATTATGCAAAAGCGTGCTTTTCACATTGTTCTATGCAACGTTTTCACAATTCATTCAATCACAATCTATTTCGGCGCACCGTCGGTCCCTAGCTTATGAAAGCGCCAATCATTTTACATGTTTGATGAAATACTTGCGAGTCCGCATGTGTGTCTACTGAACTGGGTTCGGTGAGACTGCACTCTCATGTACTACTGAGCTGCATTTTGCAAGATATTCTCAATTCTAGGCTTCATTTTCCACCCTCTGATATCGATCCGAAAAATCTCCTGATCATTTTATAATGGCTAATATAAGTTCTTTGTCAGAAACTAGTTATTTATCATGATCATGCAAAGTCTTTGAAAATTATTTTGCATTTTGTTAGTGTATATAGTACTTAAAAATATATTTTAAGTGCTTGAAAGTTCTTAAAAGGTGCTTATTTTTTTTGGATAGATTTGGCTATGCACCCTGTCACTATATACATAACTGCCAATTTTTACGTAGTTTCTATAAAATTTTAAATGCTTTTAAATTTGTAGTAAAGTTTATGCTTTTTATTACTTTCTTGGATTTTTAAATTTTATTTAAAATGATTTGGACCACTAAAGGTTTAATATTTATAAAAGTGGATGAAAATTAATACAGTGTTATTTTTGAACTCTGAGCCAAATAAAACAGATATTTCTGCTGATAGTAGTAATGAAAGTTTTATTTTACTACAACTGGAGAAAATCATCTTCAAGTTGGCAGGGACTATGTACATACTTTTCTTATAAAAAAAAGCAGCTTTTAAATAAATTTGTCATTTTTTTCTGAAAAAGTTCCTCTTATTTAAAAAAAAATTGAGCCGTGATGGCTCAGAGGATAGAGCTTTCGCTTTCCAATGAAGTGAACCGGGTTCAAATCCCAGCGATGACTTGTCGATACAAGTACCTTGCACAGTGCTGATGTAAAATATCCTCAGTGGTAGATGGATCATGGGTGAGAGTTTCCTTGCCGTCAGACTAACCTTGAAAGGTTTTTGTGGTTTTCCACTCCATATAACGCAAATACGAGTTAGTTCCATAAAAAAGTCCTTCACGAGGGCAAAATTTCTTCCAATACTTGATTCTGAGTTTCCATGTCTTCTGGATCAGGTCCAAAATTGCAAGGCTACGGAGTGGAACATTAGTAGTTGTGAACTGAAAAATTTGGGTCGGCTGTTCACCGACAGTTATATATATATAAAGAAAAAATATTCTTGGTTCCTAAGTCACTTTTTTAAAGTTCCAAGCTACTAAACACTCTGTAAAAGCGCTACCATTTAAAAAAGAAACAACTTTTTTATTACCTATTAACTAAATTAACATTTTAATTTTACCTTTTAAAATTGTTACTGCATGCAAGTATATATCTATTGAGCTGTATATGTATTGTGTCAACTTTATTACTTTTTAAACTTAAGAAATAAACTAATTTTTAGTTAATCTGTTTCAGGTTTCTGATGCTGATATTGTCGATTCGTTTTTGAATGTTCAAAGAGACATGCAAGACTGTTCCGTCAAAAGAAAAAAAGTTATAGAACTTCAGAGTAAGTAATTATTATTGTTTTAGCTGAATGTAATTTAAAAATAATCTCTGTTTATAACAATTAAATATAAAGGAATTGGGGAAGTTTAATCATCCCTGTTTGATCATATTCAAACAGACTTTTATAAATTTTTTATTTTGTAACCTCCTCTTCCAATTTTAATCTTGATGTTTGAAGACGGATTTTGACTATCAGTCTCTCTCTCTCTCTTTTTTGCAATTTTGAATAAAATTTGGTTTTTGACATCAATAACTGGTTTTTGATATGACACATCAAAAACCTGTTGAAAGTGTCAAAAACAGTCCAAAATTGTTGTAATATGACAAAAGTCTGGGACAAGTTTATTTTTTGCTATTTGGAACATTTTATTTGCACAGTCATACGCAATACTTGCATTATACACAATAAGGGTAGCCACCCACCTGGAATTTTTTGGAAATTCTTTTTATACTGGAAAAATTTGAGGAATTTAGATAAAAACATGGAAAAACTGGGAATATTAAAGAAAAGATGAAATTTTTTTTCTTAATTTAAATTATTTTACCCCCTTTTTTTTAATTGGAAATTTATCACCAAACAGCTGAAATATCATCATATTAGCAATATTTTGCTTGCTTTAAAATTTACTATTATAACCCTGTTAAACTAGAATGCCACATAAAAACTCTCTCACAGTTGCTAAATGAATGGAGAAACCTTTGACCTCTTTGGAAACTATGGGACTATACAGTTTATTAAAGGCAAAGATTGTGGTGGAGACAGAAGAATGGGTTAGCTTCAGTTTATAAATGTTTTTTTTTTCTTCTTTCTTCTAGTCCATGGGCTGATTCCAGTTATTGTTCAAGTTTGTTTCAACTCTTTGAGAGTATTTTCTTCTGGGGAAACAATTCAAAATTATTTAATAACTTTATAAAATTCTCCAAAAATTAGTTCATTATAATTTAATAATAGATTTTTTATTGCACTCTTTTTTGAAAGCTTTTGTATTGTCATCCAATGAAATCTGTATATTGTTCTTTCTCAGCAAAGCCAACTAATCCCTCATTTTCTTACAATGCTAACAGCAGTGTTTGTCTAAAAATCGTTGCATTGATGGTAATTTTCTCAATCTCATTATAACCTTTTACAACACATTTTATTTAAAAAGAAAGTTCTTTTGTAAACCAACTATATGTTAACATTTAATTTTATTGTTTTGTTGGTAAATATTTGACAATTGGTTCAAAATTGGAATTGTGCAGTGAAAATATGTGAATGTTGCTTGCATTCCAAAGTTGATAACTGTTTCCCTTTTTACCCTGAAAGAGCTGGTAAAAACTAAGGAATATATGAGAAACATGTTAAATGATGTATAAACATAGAATATAGAAAATTTTGTTCATATGAGTTTATTAGGAAAGCAAAAAGTTTAGTTTTATGTTCTGTTCGTTCTAGTTCGTCAATTACACTGTAAGGTCTATCAGAATTTTTAGGAATTTTAAACAAACAAGGTATCATGTTCAAAGTAAAAAATTGAAGATTTAGAAATAATTACTATTAACTTTTAAATATCAGTTTCAATAAGTTATAAGCTGTTAAATGAATGGCTATATCATTTAAAATTTTTAACCTCTATTAATGAATCTCTCACAAGTGCAGTTTTTTTTTAAAGAAATCACACTAATAGCAGAAAATACAATAAATAATTATTATAGTAAACTGTAACAAGACAGGTTATTTTGCACAAATGTGTTGAAACATATTGCATTTTGATTTACAAAAAAAAAAAAAAATCTCGATGCACTTTAGATTTTTTACATCTGACACCAAAATGCATAATTAATCGTATTGTGCCACTAAGATTTAACATAATTAAATTATTTTTTTCTGTTTAAAGCAAGATTCTAAGTCTCATTTGTATTATCTGCTTTTCTTTGGAAGATAATAATTGTTTTTATTGTAAATTTATAATTAATTATTTTTATGTTAATTTTTTTTTTTTTAAATTAATTTTCTTCTTTTATTTTGCTTTTTCTTCTCTGAAACTCTGCTGCATTTTACAAGATATTCTCAATTTCGGGCATCATTTTCCTCCCTCTGATATCAAACGGAAAAACCTCTTCATCTATAGTGGCTAATATAATCAAGAAAATAGTTCTTTGTCAGAAACTGGTTATTTTATCATGATCATGTAAAGTCTTTGAAAATTATTTTGCATTTTTTTAATGTGTAGTGCTTAAAAATATTTTTGAGTGCTTAAAACGTACTTAAAAGGTGCTTATTTTATGTTGAAAATTTAGTTATGCACCCTGGATGTGTATAAAGGCACTTTCAAAGTACCTTTATACACATCCATTTATTTTAAAATTTTTAATGTATTTTTAAATTTTTTACATAATGACCAAAAGACATATTATATAAGATACGAAATGCTGTGTATTTTCTATGGGTTTTAGTTTCAATTACAAAACTATACAATATATATATAAGAACTGCAGAAAGCACCAAATTTCTGTGTTTTTAAAATGTGCTTTTAGTAACTGTTTTATATTTTTATTATTTTCTTCCTTAATTATTTTATTTGTTTTGTAATGAAACTTAAAACATTATTTTTAAATTTTTTATGATTGGTTGATCTTTTTACAGTTAAGTATATTGAAGTGTATTCTATTGTTTGAAGAAAAAAACTGTTGTTTATGGTATTGTACCATTTTAAATTTCGTATTAACTATTACTGCTGAAGTTATTGCACAAATCTATCCCCATATCTTAGAAAAGGCATCTTGAATAAAAATAATCACTACATTATGAGGTAGGGGACTACATTATGATGAATTATTTTATAGAAATTAGGCAATTAAGATTTTAGATAAGCTTTTTATTTTAAAATTGTCATTGAACAGCCGACCCGATTTTTTGGTTTACGACTACTAATGCTTCACACCGTAGCCTTGTAATTTTGAACCTTGTAATTTTGAACCTGGAAGACAAGGGAACTCCTGTAATGTGAGAAATTTGCCTTCGTGGAGGAATTTTCGATGGAACTAACCCACATTTGGTTACATGGCGAGCAAAATCTCCCAATTTTAGCCTGATGGCAAGAGGACTCTAACCTCTGATCCGTCTACCATTGAGGATATTTTACGTCAGTACTGTGGTCGGTGCAAGGCGAATGTGGAATTCGTATCGACCAGCTGGTATTCAAACCCGGTTCAGCTCATGAGACTGCGAACGCTGTATCACCTGAGCCATCACGTCTCTTAGATTAATATTGTAGTGGATTTATGTCTTTTGCTTACCTTGATATTACAGAAAAATCTTTCATTCCATAAGTTAGCAAAAGGTTTATTTTTTTTTAGAAAACTTGCATTTATAATTGAATTTGAATCTAATTATACAATTACCATTGACTTACAGAAAATCAACTGTCAGAAAGTCCAGATAAGTCTCAAATGCCGATTAAGAAGGAAATACCTGAATCTTCATTTCCAATACAATATGATGAAGATAGGGAAGAACTGGACAGAAAAGCTCCTGTCAAACGAGAAATTTCTGATTCGGGATCTGAAGGTCCAAATGAAGAAAATATTGCACAGGTTCAGAAATCTACCATTTTATATTGTATTTATCCACTGGCAATATGTATAAAACTTCATTTACTTAAAAAAAATATGCTGATGGTAATAAAAATCCCAGTGTTTTGAGTGCTTAAAAACAGGTGCTCATTCTCAAGACTCCATCATGTGAGTGAGGAATATATTCAAGCCTCATTCACATCTGTCGAGTCTTGAGAATGGGCGCATATTTTCAAGCTTCGAAACATGTTGTCTCTGAATATATTTTTTTTTTGCAAAATGAAATTTTATATTATCAATATGTCAAATGGAAATCTTGCCATTTTAAAGTTTAAGATATTTTTTGCGTAATCATCTATAATTTACTCAGTTGAATCATCTTGATAATCCATCCTGCTTTATCCATATTTTAAATATCTCCAATATGTGATTTAAAATCATCTCTTGGTTTTTAAAATCTTTGTAATTGTATTCATTCATAATAAAAATAGCATTGGTATTTATTCATCATTTTGATTTATAATTCAAATAGTATTGGTATTGATTCATCGCTCTCCTAGATCAAATTGCCCAAATAGATAGCACCCAGGGGTGGTGGTCGGTAAAACTACATTTTCTTTGTAGTTAACTTCAGTAGCTAACTCTGTAGTTCTACTTTATTACAATTGTAGTTAACTATAACTACTTTTTTTAAAAAATGTAGCAACTACAAACTACTTTAGAAATGCGTTCACTACTCTGCTACTTTTAAAAGACAAACTTAACTGGAGAACTTAATTTTCACCGATAGTCAAAATGGTGTTGAATAAAAAATTGGCTAGGTTAAGTATAAGGAGATATTAAGAAGTTTTAATTCATGTTTACATCAAATAGTTATTTTGATTTTAAAACACTTTTTATGAATTTGTTCTTTTAACTTTCAAAATCTGTGTTTTTCTGGTCAGTGATTTAGGAAATAATCAAATATTTGTGATTTAAGGAATCAATGCTTTTTTATATCTTCAAAGAAATAAAGTGCTAACTTTCTGGGGGAAAAAAACAAAAAACATTGTTAAAGTACGAAAAACAAAAAAGCTGACCACGACGAATAACTTTTGATCTAATGATCGAATCTTCACGTTCTAGGACTTAATCTTAATGATTTGAGGGGGTGACCGAAAATAGGCTAATTAATTAATGCAGACGATATTTTAATTTATGAAATCGGATACAAAAGCGTACTTTACAGTTCCTGTGAAATCGAATTCTAAGAAAGTCAGATATTTAAGGTTCGATTTCTGAGGAACGATTCGACCGATTTTGACTAGTATCAGTTCCTGGCCAAATTATTTGATGCACTAAAGATTCTATATAAATTATCAACTGACTTACACAACTGAAACCAGTTTGCACTTGTTTACGTTCGTGTATTAATTGGTTAACATTGTAATGCAATACTTTGAAAATAATTACAATTAGGAAGTATATAAAAAATCTCTAGAATAGCACTCATTACATGTATGTTTAAAGTATCGCATATACACTCGTGCAAAACATGCAGTTATTAAAACACTAGTTATTAAAAAACTACAGTGCGTCTAATGATTTGGTCGAATTAATAATAATGTACTAATATAATACCTGCTATAATAAATATTTATATAATCTATCGTCGAATTTACATTATATATCGTTTAAGTTAAAGGTAAACAAGTGCAAGCCACGTAAAAGCAATAAAGCTGTATAGTATCACCTAATAATTAAGATTTTACATAGAAACTTATAGTGCGTCTAATAATTTGGCCAGGGGCCGTAGATCTTATTAATGCTCAGCCACAGAGGCATTCTCATTGTGTATGTTTACCCGAAATATAGTAAAGGATAGTTTAGATGAATGCAGTAAACCATTTTTATTCCGTGAACATTTAACGAAAACATTTTACAATATTTTTATTCATAGCTTTCTTTTATTTACGTCGCACTAGAGCTGCACAATGGGCTATTGGCGACGGTCTGGGAAACATCCCTGAGGATGATCCGAAGACATGCCATCACAATTTTGATCCTCTACAGAGGGGATGGCTCTTCCATTTTGGTAGCCCGACGACCTGTGCGCGAAGTCGCGCACTTTATGGTAAAACAGTTTAACGAGGACCGATGATCAAAGTGGTCACCCTCCCGCTTACTGACCGCAGCCAGTGATGCTTGACTTCGGTGTTCTACTGGGAACTGTGTCTTAATGATCGGGATCATTAATTAAATAAAAATGACCTATCAGTATTGATTATTGACTCATTTGGTTGGAGGAAAAATTAGCTGCTAAGCTATTAGTCTACCTACCACAGGCTACTAACTGAAAATTTAAATTTTCAAGTCTATTTTGAAGTCAACAATCATTGTCAGATTAACTTTGGATAACTCAGTCTTTGCCTTCAACTAAATTTACTAATAATGGTTTTGATACATCAGATAAATAAATGGTCTAAAAAATATCTAAAATCAAATTTCTACGCAGTTATTGGTTAAAATTCTTCTCACCTATAGCCTTTGGAAGTTGTAATAGTTTTCTCTCCTAAACTAACCGTTGCAATTTTTTTCAGAAAAATTTTATTTATAGGATTTTTAACTACCAAAAACTTTTCCTAAGTGTATTTTTATTATTGTATGTAAATCGAGAAATACAGTTTCTTTTTCATTTCAGGCTCGTAATCAAGCTTCATCTTCCACGAATCTTAAGAAAACAAAAAATTAGAAGAGTTTTAAATTTTGAAATAAAATGTTTTGTTTCAACATTTGTAATTAAAATATTTATTTATCACTTTTACTTTGATGATGATTCCTATTAAATATTTATTTTGTTTATTGTGAATTTCTGGTTTTCATTGTATATTCTTTAAAAGTTACCAAAGTTTTAACTACCAAAAACTTTACCTAAGTGTATTTTTATTATTATATATAAATCGTTAAATACAGTTTCTTTTTCATTTCAGACTTGTAATCAAGCTTCATCTTCCATGAATCTTAAGAAAACAAAAAATAAGAAGAGTTTTAAATTTTGAAATGAAATGTTTTGTTTCAACATTTGTAATTAAAATATTTATCACTTTTCCTTTAATGATGATTCCTATTAAATATTTATTTTGTTTATTGTGAATTTCTGGTTTTCATTGTATATTCTTTAAAAGTTACCATCCCTTTGTCGATGTTGCCGTTCTTTCCAAGTAATAGCTAGGAGACGGAACCCTTGTGAAATCCTAGAAACAAAGAGTGATTGATGTCTTGTTTGTATAAAAAGAACAATTCCTTTTTATTATTCAATAATATTAGATACCTTTTTATAGATTTTTTGTTTCTTGTGCTTATGACTGTGCCCTTGCTTGGTATTTCAGTTAACAGTTACTTGTTGTCAAGGCAAAAAAGAAATTTTATTATTTTTTTTATGCACATTAGTGTTCAATAGATTGGTGATGATAAATGAGGAACTGTTGTTTATATTTTAATTCTATATGTATGAACATTTATTTCATGATTTTGTGGATTGAATATAAAGATTTCTGAAAAACACTTTATATTTTAACTGTCTAAAAAACAGGTGTCGAAGTATATTTTGGTGATATCCTTTTAATATCTAAATTTAATTTATTATAAGCACTAATTTTTAAATATTTTTTTAATAACTATTATATTCTGAAGTGGCTGATTTTTTTTTTAATGTAATTTATATACCAAGCAATATGAAGTATTATAAAAAAATACAGTGAATGAAATAAAATAATTTTTAATAATATTTGTAAACAGTAGAGTTCATTAAAAAAAATATGTTCATTTCTTTAAAAAAAAATAATGGAAAAATAGGGAAAATATTTAAAGAAAAAAAAGGAAATAATAGGTCTCAAACGTGAATCAATATTCGATTGTCTAGTCATTAAGTGTGTTTTAATACAAGTGAAGTTTATGTCTGCATTAAAAATATATTTCGCTTAAATTAACCCTTTGACGGTCAGAGAAATGAGCAGTTTTCGTTTCATTAATTCGCGCCGTATTACGTGCAAACAGTAGTCGAAAGTGGCATCTGTTTTCCACCTCCCTTCTTCCGAAAATGTCACCCTTCTGTAGCGATGCCAACTGCTCCGTCTTCTGGAATTGTAATAATAAAGTGGTAGCAAATTGTGTAGTAAGTTTCGTTGGAAAAGGACAGTTACGCCTACTTTTTAATAGTACAGTGTTGTTTTAACGTTGCATTTTATATGTTACTTATAGTTTTTGATATTTAGTGGTGAGAAAATTACTTAAAAGGAAAAATACTAAAGTGAAAGTAACTTGACTTTCGCTATCATTAGGAAATACTATTTTACAAAGCGGAACAAGTTGGCATCTCTGGATGCGGTGGATAGCTCGTCTCACGCGTTTTAAAAATTTCTTAAAGTATTCGTAGCACATAAATAACAGTTTTTGCGTACTCTTCGTTTTTAACATAGTCAATGCAGAATAATAATGGCGAACGAGCTCAGCTCGTCAGCGCGCATTGGGGAAAAATTTCACTACGCGAGTTATGCTCGTTACTAACCATTACGGTCAAAATCTTGCTCCCGAGCGGAACTCGTCTGTGCGCATTATGAGGCACGATTCGATTGCGAGCTGAACTCGTTCATAACCGTCAAAGGGTTAAAGAGCATGGTTGAAAACCTTGGAGAGGTTAAAAATTTGCAAATACTGCTGCTAATAATAATATATTGCAGTAAAATATGTTTGCTTTAAGTTATTTTGAGTTATTTTCTTAAAATTTAATTATGAAATTTAAGCAAAATTTCATTACAATTCTCGTGAAAACAAATAATGTGTATTACCATCAAAGTTCATATTTTAAATGGCATGATCTTCTTTTTCAGTGGTAAATATCTCTTTTCAATTTATCCTTATTAATCTTTTTTTTTCCAACAGGAATTATAATGTAATCTTGTTCATATTATTAAGATTAAATTTAATAAAAACTTAAAATATTGGTTACAAAATAAAAGAAATTCAGTAAAAGACATTAAAAAAATTAAATTTCTAAGTTACAAATAAGTTTTCTCAAGTAATTCAAAAATAAAAAAAACGGGTAATTGTTTTTTGTTTTTAATATTTGAATTTCGTAAAAAAAATTATAGTAAAGAAATAATAAATATATATTGAATAAAGCAAGCAAAATAGTTATCCACCTTTTAAGATCAGAAATCTAGAAATATAAGTAAAATTTAGCAGGCGATCATCGTGTCGTGACTTTAAAAGAGGAAAGTTTTATTATTTTATATGTTAATTAATTAAACTTTATATGGCAGCTAATTTTTACCCTATTCGAGGTTTTCAACCATTATCTTTACTTTAAGCTTAATTTCGTTTAAATGCACATTTTACAGCTGTGTAATGGACAAAAACACTCCGTAATCTTATGACCGGTTTTTCGTGTCATACGATTTATGGTTCAAGGGGGTCACTTCCAAGGATGGCCTGAACTACTGGGACCTGCCCCGTATTTGGAAAACTTCACGCTCTGGGATCCTTTTGGCTGATTTTAGTTATAAAAAGGGAGAACAAGGATATTCTGTTGGAAATATGATCGATAATCGTCTCAAATCAGCCGAATCTATGCTCGTTGTTTATCTTCGGCTAAGTCACGGGATGAGTTCCAAAAAGCTCGATGTCGGGCGTTTATCGGCAGTTGTAACAAACCACCCTCATGAGAATATGTTTTCCTTACATTAAACTCTAATTTCGGGCCGAATTTAAAATATATAGGTTAATATAATAGGGAGTAACGCGGTGTGATGTGTGCGTGCCTCCTGATACGACTTTTGTCTCTTTTTCCTCCATTATTCGCTCTTTAACAGAGAAAAATAATTCTTTTTGCGTATAGAACACTTTATTCACTTTAAAAAATTGAAAAAGAAGTTAAAAAAATAACATATAATAAAATAAATATATAACTCAAAATTATCCGAAATTTATCCGTTTATTAGCTATTTCCCAACAAAAAAAAGATATTTTTATGTATAGAGCACTTTATTCACGTTAAAATATCGAAAAATATATTAAAACAAAATATTAAAAAAATTTGAAAGTCCACCCACGCAGGGTTTCGAACCCAGGGTATCCGGGACTACAAATCTACCTTGCCACACAGCTTTACCAACTGCGCCGCGGTTCACATGTCAGGCCCACGAATATTAAGTTTAAAACACCTCCTCCCGGTTAGTCAACAAAACTTATTTTGGCCCATTGTGTTCCCACTAATAGGCCTATAAAGAATTCCTTTACGTACTATTGTTCGTTACATTAAACTCTAATTTCGAGTCGAATTTTAAATTTATAGGTTAATATTATACGGAGTTACGGGGTGTGATGTGTGTGTGCCTCCTGATACGACTTTTGTCTCTTTTTCAGCCATTATTCGCTCTTTAACAAAGGAAAATAATTCTTTTTACGAATAGAACACTTTATTCACTTTAAAATGTTGAAAAAGAAGTTAACAAAATAACATAAAATAAATAAATAACATCAAGTTGAATAATTAAGAATTATCCGAAATTTACCCGTTTATTAGCTATTATTCGGTATTTCCTAACAAAAAAAAAGATATTTTTATATACAGAACACTTTATTCACGTTAAAATATCGAAATATATATTAAAACAAAACATAAAAAAATTAAAAAAGTTCGAACGTCGACTCTCGCAGGATTTCGAACCCACGGAATCCGGGACTACAAATCTACCTAACCACACAGCTTTACCAACTGCGCCACGATTCACATGCCAGGTCCACGAATATTTAGCTTAAAACACCTCCTCCCGGTTAGTCAACAAAACTTATTTTGGCCCATTGTGTTCCCACTAATAGGCCTATAAAGAATTCCTTTACGTACAATTGTTCGTTACATTAAACTCTTATTTCGGGTCAAATTTAAAATTTATAGGTTAATATTATAGGGAGTCACGGGGTGTGATGTGTGCGTGACTTCTGATACGATTTTTGTCTCTTTTTAGCCANTTGTCTCTTTTTCAGCCGTTATTCGCTCTTAAACAAAGAAAAATAATTCTTTTTAAGTTTAGAACACTTTATTCACGTTAAAATATTGAAAAAGAAGTTAAAAAAATAACATATAATAAAATAAATAAATGAGTAAAAATTATCCGAAATTTATCCGTTTATTAGCTATTATTCGCTATTTCCCAACAAAAAAAGATATTTTTATATACAGAACACTTTCTTCACGTTAAAATATCAAAAAATATATTAAAACAAAATATTAAAAAAAATTTAAAAAACTTGAACGTCGACACTCGCAGGTTTTCGAACCCAGGGTATCCGGGACTACAAATCTACCTTGTAACACAGCTTTACCAACTGCGCCACGCTTCACATGCCATGCCCGCGAATATTTAGCTTAAAACACCTCCTCCCGGTTAGTTAACAAAACGTATTTTGGCCCATTGTGTTCCCACTAATAGAACTATAAAAAATTTCTTTCGTACAATTGTTCGTTACATTAAACTCTAATTTCAGGCCAAATTTGAAATTTATAGGTTAATATTATAGGGAGTTACGGGGTGTGATGTGTGCGTGCCTCTTAATACGAATTTTGTCTCTTTCTCAGCCATTACTCGCTCTTTAACAAAGAAAAATAAATCTTTTTACATGTAGAACACTTTATGACATTGAAATATTGAAAAAAAAGTTATAAAAATAACATAAAATAAAATAAATAAATAAGTAATAAATATCCGAAATTTTTCTGTTAATCAGCTATTATTCGCTATTTCCCAACAAAAAAAAGAAAGATATTTTTATACACAGAACACTTTATTCACGTTAAAATATCGAAAAATATATTTAAACAAAATATAAAAAAATTTGAAAGTCGACCCTCGCAGGGTTTCGAACCCAGGGTATCAGGGACTACAAATCTACCTTGCCACAGAGCTTTACCAACTGCGCCACGCTTCACATAACAGGTCCGCGAATATTTATTATTTATTTAATGTGTTTTTCGGTATATTAAAGGATCCTATATGTAAAAAATAATTTTTTTTATTCGGGTAATTTCAAATAACGCCTAAAAACTCGAAAAATCCCGGAAAATTAGTTTATTTTTATAATATTATTTTTTTTAACTTCTTTAACAATATTTTCACGATAGTTTAGCTTGCGAAATGTATTCTGTGTTTGAAATCAAGCGTCTTTCTTGGTGAAAGAACGCATAAAGGAATAAATAATAAAACAAAATAAAATGGCGGGAAAAAGGCTCAAATTTCAAGTCCGCCTAACTCCCTTTAATAGTAAACTATAATTTTCGAACCCGGGCGGAAAGTTGGCCTCTATGAGCCGAACCACCCAACGGAGAAAATTTTTTATAGACCATATAGAGGGGCCACAAAGGCCCCTCAAGTATTTTTTTTAGCAAACTGGGAGAGGGTACTTGAAGCTATGTAGTAGCCTGATCTCCGTGTAAACGTGGTACAATGGCTAAGACCGCGTGATAGTGACTTACGCCTTAAGCGAGGGGGTGCAGGTTCGAACCCCGGCAGAG